TTTTATTTTTTATTTTTCCTAAAATTTGAAATGGTTGCAAATGTGTTAAAATAGTGCAATAAAGGCGCATGTTCAGTGTACATTTATCTTTATTTTTTGTTAATAACAACTTTGAGTATGCAGTATACACATTGAACACCATTTCACTGTTCAGTCCACATATATATCTGTACTAACTTTTGGTATGAATACACACCACATTACTTTTTCACATATCGTCCTCTTTTAATTACAGTGACCTTGTCATTGTTGCTTTCGAAAATCCCGACATTAAAATTGTAAATGCGTCGGATTTCGCAATGGCAGTTGCCGACTGCTCTTCTGTATCAGCATCAATATTAAATTCTAAATAAGCTCCGAGGTACGACACCACTTCCCCCACCGTACATGCGCCATCACAATGGGTCAGTTCCACTTTCGATTTACCGGCCGACACAACGGCCCTGTTACCACACTCGACGGGCGCAGATTTGTCAATTGTTCCTTCGGCTAATTCATGAAAGACTTGCATTAATGTTTTAGTATCGGCTACTGAACACCCATACCAATCTTTCAGAATGGCAAGTTGCCGTTTCAGCTTTAGAATTACAAAAACCATATTGCAGACGACGAGTTTTCTACAACCGGAAATTGATAATATAAAACTAATTTTTGAAGCGGAAAACGGAAAAAAATCTGTATTTCGTATTTCGCAAATAAAAAAAATTGGGGCTGGGCCTCAAAGAGGGGGCGGGCGGGGATGAGAATCTAGCAAATAATTTATTATGGCCTTACATCAGGATGATAAGATAAATAATGAGGGAAAAAATGAAATATAAATATTCTATGAGTCCCATTAACATTTTATGTGTGTATAAGACTGGTGACTTGCAAGTATAAAGATTTAACACCTTTATGTATTGTTGAAGTTAATGTAGTTTTGACCCCTGGAATTTTGTACAGTTTAAATGAATGTATATATATAGGAATGCGGATGATTAAAACAGCAATAATTGTGGAAAGAAAATCATATACTTCAAAAGCAACAGTTTAAATTGTTGGTGTTGATTGCATACATTTATCTGCAGTTATAAGTTACGACAATCTGTAGTTTGTAACAAGGATATATGAATTCCTGTTCAAGTTATTTTCAGTTAATAATATACAACATTTGATTTATATAGCGCCCTATATAATTTTAACAATTACTTTCAGGCGTTTTATAATTACAGCACATAAATAAATAGCAAAATATATAAAAATTACTCCAGCAACAGTTATAAATATATAAGTAGATAAAAATGGCATACAATCGGCCAGTTATATTTATTATTTTATAATATTATAGAAATATGTTAACAAATAACTGTCAAGTCTACAGATTAAAAACATCAGATAGGGGTTTAATTAGTGTCCAGTTTAAAAAAATGCCATGTCTTGTCAATTGTTAAACCTGTAATATGAAACCAGTCAGTAGTACTACCTATATAACTATCCACTATTGTATGTTTACATGTATGATTAAATGGGTCATGAAATTTGATCCCCTTGAAATCCCAATTAAATTTCAATGTTTGAAATTGGAAAGACTCCAAATATCAAATGAAGGTATACAATGTACTGAAATCTAGTACAGGTGACAGCTAGAACAACAGATAAGGTTTTAAATAACATTTTGATTTAAAAAGTAATTCTCATTTACTTAAGTACTAAGATTCATCGCACCATGTTGTAATAATGTAGCCCTATCTGTCTAAACGTCTAAAACTGGTGTCAGGGCCAGAGGAAACATGTGCTAGTTGTACATGTATTGGTGTTCGGCTGTCAAATCACTCCATGCAATAATGAACCTTAGACTGAAGGTCGTAGAATGTTCTGGATAGCTTGGGGAAAAATTGTTGAAAAGGTAGCATGTGACATGGCCATCCTTCTCTCTGTGATTCTTGAAAAACAATTATGTTAACACTTCAGAAGTTAAATGGACTATGTCCTTTTAATATTATACTACTGTCGCATGGAGGACTATCCGCTAAGCTAAAAATGAATTGATGTGTTTCCAATAATGAAGCCTTGCCTTTATTCTTTATTGTTATTTTCATTTTTTTCTTTCTTAAAGGACTAGTAAAGTGGCATTTCCTTTGCTATAAATACCCTTTAAAAAGTACTTAAATATAACAGAAAGTATTCTGACCTGCTTGTTGTATATATATAGGTATTTAGACCCCCCTGTGACTGTTAAATCCACTACAGAATTGAGAGGTGACTAATGAGGGCATTCCGTAGGAAATTGAGATTTTTCACGTTTACCAGGCCAGATTACCACATGCATATATATGTTCCACATGTTCCAAATTTATATCTCGTCCCTTCTTTCTGGTGCTTATCTCTCGTTGACTCACTTTATGTGATAGTGCATCTTGCGCAAGAATAGGTCCTCTACATCAGCGTTCCTTGTCCGCGATGCTCTCAGCTTAATTGCTGCCTTTGGCTGTCTTTAGCCGAGGGGACTATTGGTTTTATATAATAGCTATATTTTTAATTATAGTATATCAGTTCTATCTTCTTGTAATATGATGTATATGTACTGTGTAATATGATGTATATGTAACTTTTCTGTTTCACTGTGTCTTGATAAAGGAGCGGATCGCTTCGAAAACTTGACAACCTAAACTTGTCCACACTGTAGGAATTACTTCTTTGCCCCATATATTTTTAGCTACGTATACGTTAGCTGAAATAAACTTTCTCGATCTATGACAACCTGTTTAAAGTACACACATGAAATAGGCCTCTATCTATAATAGACTATGGTATTTACACCACTTGTATGGTTTTCATATTTGTATTTACCATCTTTAACTTTTTAGGTGTTTTATGTCTTTTGACCGCTTTTTTCTGATTTTTCAAGCTCAAAATGACTTTCTTGTGTCCAGGGGCTGTTAATTAGCTTTAAGTTTAACGAACAAACGAACAAGCTGAATCAGCTATTTTTTTCTTCAGTTTAATAGTAATATGTGTAGTTAATAGTCTGAATTCATTGAGGTTGTTATGTAACTATTATAGGGAGATGCTAGAACAGTCCTCATCTGAGCTGCGGTATACAATTGAGGAATTGGAGAAACGCTATGATGGTGTCGTTGATGAGGGTGAGTTGGTTTGTTTTTTTGTTTTAAACATATTTTATTGTAATTTATATACAATTATTTGGGAGTTGGGCAGAAGTTTTAGAACCTATATTAAGCCCTTTCCCTACAATATATTACTACAAATTATCAAGATGGCATATAACATATATATTTACATTGCCTTTAATTGAGAGAGACAGAGAGAGAGAGTGATGAAGAGAGACAGAGAGAGAGGAGAGAGAGAGAGAGAGAGAGAGAGAGAGAGAGAGAGAGAGAGAGAGCTAGAATCGGATTATTTGGTAAACATGAAGGAGTGCAAGAAAATATACTCAAAATCTGTAAGTATCTAGAATAAATTGCTGCGTCTGTTTGGCTATTAGAATATGTTTTCTTGATATGACAATTCACTATTACCGTTAATTAGTAGTAGCTGCAAGTTAAGTGGAATGAAATCATTTAATTTGCAGTGAGTTGGTGTTTGCTACTAAAAGCATTCCTGTAACTACGTGTTTAAGTAATTGTTTGTTACAAATGTTCCATATATTATAAACCAGATTATACAGAGTTGATTATACTAACCTAATAAATATAGTTTACATGTCTGTTTATTTGTATGAATTTTTACTATTTCTTTTTTTTTTTTAAATTTTCCTTTTTATTAATTTATAATACATTAGATTAATCTAATGCTAAACAAGAAGCTGTACAAATATAAGATAGTGTAGTACAGATAACACATATCTGACAACTAAAATTTGTATCAAACATAATCTTAAATAATTCATGTAAACATATAAAATCTGTCTGAATTTGATTTATCATACATGTTGATAATCTTTTGAAAAAAAAAAAATTAAACCTATTCTGTAGAACTAGTAGGGTCCTGAATTGAAGTTAGGATCTAATTATCTTACATCTTAAAGCACTTCAATATACAATTGTATAATGTATTTTGGAGGCAGGTGTGCAGAGGGATGTTAAGAAAGATCTAAAACTGTACTGACTACTGTAAAATTTGACACTGCCTATTTCAATTATCGTATTCAACATAAAAAGAACCCTTCCTTATAAGTGACTTATTCTTTTTTTGGTCTTAGTGTTTCATAAGCCTTCAAAATAATATACTGATTTACTTGAAAAAAATTGTCTTCTTAGTACTATGGCTTTCACTTTTCAAAGTTCAAAGTTTCAAAAAGTTTAGCGGCTATTAACTGTTTAATACCCCTAATGTAAAGTACACAGGGCACTTATTACATCAAATATGTTAATCGAAAACTGTATACGTTACTGGGTACCTCATACAGGAATTCTACCTTGATAGGTATAACTCTCTATGAGTATGTAAATAATGTTTAACATTACACAGTAAACCCTTATGTCAGTGTGCTAATATTTACTTCTCAAGGTATGCATGGTTAATGAATATTATACACTCAAATTTTGAATATTGAAATAAAGTCCGAAGTTTTTTCTATATTTGAGACTCAGTTCTCTTAAACTTCATTTACACTTTCATGACACATTAAGGAGAAATTTGAACTAGGTTCTAAGTTTTTTGAAACTATTGAATAAACAAGAAATATAGGAAATGAACCACATACTGTACAGTGTTTTGTGTATATACATGTATATCTGAGAATTCTTATTTCATATAAATGAGTTTTTAATAGCCAGTAAGGAAGTTCAGATGGTTACAAATGATTTGTGTTGTAATTTTTTGTATGCATCAGGGTTGGAATTAAAGGTAAGGGTTACTGGCCCAAAGGTCCATTTGAAGTAATTCACTGGACAGGCCAAAATGAGCGCCAAAGGCATTCAATACAAGGGGGGTTTAAATTTTCCTCAGAAAATTTTGAAATCTGGAAGCTTTGTGTGTGCATTCTGGGCTTTCAAATTTGCGGAAATTCTAGATAAATTTACAAAACATCTATCGGCCCAGAGGCATAGCTTGTTGAAAAACCTACTGGTCTGCCCAGAAAAGCACTTGCCACGGGTAGGGGACCAGCGGTTAATTCCACCCCTGATACATGTGTAGCTGATAAGTTTATCCAGATTTCTACCTGAAGTAGTTAAAACATTAAAATGTTCAATTATATTGTCTAAGTGTAAAAACTATCAAACCTTTATTTTGTTATTCAAGGAAATGAATGGAAGACCCGATGTGAAACACAACAGGAGATGAACGACCAGCTAGACAAACAGATTTTTATGTTACAAAGTAAAGTACAGGAAGCTAAGAGTAACCTTAAAGATGGTAGGTACACTTGTTTTACACATTGGTGTATGGAGTCTCACATTAGCCTTTGTCATGTAGTTTGTGCATTACACACAATTCACATTCCAGGTTAAGTCAGTCACTTATAAATAATTTCTTAAGGTAAAGGAATACCATCAACTTGAAATATATTATTACCATAAACACATTCATACTATTTCTTGAAGTTCAATTTTTATGAAATTGTTCTATTTTCATCAAATCATTTGATGCGATTTACAGATTTAAAGTTGTTAAACAAATTCTACACTTTCGCTGAAGTGTTGCTATCAAGGAATTATAAATGAACAGCATTTTAATGGGAGAAGGAAACCTTGACAAGGGAAGTAACTTTAAAGTAAGAAACATTTCCTGTCACTACATCTTCTGTATCTAAGGGAGTGAGTATCCGATACTCCAAATTAAAAAAACCCAACAGATCTGAAGTGGAACTCTTCTTCATGATGAGAAGATATTCAGTGGTACCCTTTACCTTAAGTCCTTAATTTCTTTACAACACGCTTGTAAGTCTTACACATAAAATTGACTTCATTAATGCAGTAATAATTGGCAACAATGACTTTAGATCATTACTCAAAACGAAATCCTGAACAAAGAGCATTTAGTATGTTATTATTGCAATGTAAATTTGGAATGTTGCTTGCATTGCGTTTTGTTAGATGGAAGATTTCAGTCTCTGAAAGCAGTCATTTCATGTAATATATTCACTTTTAAGAATTATATAAGCAGACATTTAAAAAGAAGATTTTTGATGGCATGGGATCATTCAACTAACCATCGATAGTCTACTATTATCCTGCAAGTGTCCCACCCCTTATCTATCTCATTTCACAAGAGATGCCTACAAATAATATTTAATTTTCTTCCCATTAAGATATGTGTTGGCCCCCCGGGGCCCTAGGGCAAGATACATATGGCACAAGTTGTAGTCTTGCTTAAGGATCCTCGTACCACTGCCAGAAAGTGTAACTATGCACAGGAGACCAATTTTGTCGACATGACTACATAGCTTTGACAAAGAATTTACGCAAAAAAACCCATATCTTGTGGGACTTTTCTATGAAAAATAACAGAGATGAAATAAACCAACCAATAATCAAACAAGGTGTTTTGATAGAAAAAAACAACAACAAAAAAACGGCAGGAGAAGATCAGGATTTGAACCCTTGACTACAATAAAGTGTAGTATCGCTCTAGCCCACCCAGCTACCTGGTCAACGGAAGTGTCCTGGCCCCACTGTGATACAGTTATATCCAAAAGGATATTAAGGGAATATTACTATATTTACGAGAAAAAACCCAGTGCAGTGGGACAGGGATGCTTAAGTCTGATATTTATTTTATGGACAAAGGCCTGGAGTCAATTTAAGCACCTAACCAAGAAGTGATGACATTGGTATATATGGCCATGCCTTGTAAAGTGAACATACTTAGCATATACATGTACCTGGGTTGTGTTTCTTTCATTTTTCTAGAAGTTTGATAGAAGTTTCTAAACAGCAAAAGAACTTTAAATGTGAATATTTGATACGAAATGACTGTTTTTATAGAGTGTTATTTCCACCTTTTTTTGTGAACTCCCTTGATTACAGTCAGCTATCATAGGATAATTATAACACTGTCATCCTCGATACTCCAGGCAATACACTCATTTCACTTTCTGCACCCCAGGAATTTGTCATAGCAAAATTGAAAGCATGTGGCTAGCTATTTTATTGATGAGGCTAGTCTTCCTGTCTAATCCACAAAGTGGTACACACCGAGCCTTCACTTTTGCTACAACATATTCTAGGGGTGCAGAGAGCGTAAGTGAGCGTAACCCCTTGAGTATCGAGGATGAAAAACAATTAAAGATGTTCACATCAGATACAACTCTAATTTGGCCAAATGCAATTTCTAAAAAATGATTCCCATCAGACATAGATATTGTGAAATAAGACATTCCTGTACATCTATGTGAACATTTTTGTGATACTTTCTAGTATATATTGACAGCATTCAGTTTCATACATTAAGGACAATGCTTATCACATTCTTCTCTATCATAAAAGTAGTAATTTTAGCTATGTTTTTTTCACTACAAAAAATTAAACCAGTATGATATTGTTAATTCACATCATAATGATTGATCCTGTGTTCATGACATTAATCTGAAGTACTGGAGGACTGATCAGATTTAATCAGTAAGAAATTAACAAAAGTGTTCACATTAAAGGTAGTTTGTATTTTCATTGTGCTTCATATGCAGTATGTATAGAAATCAGGTAGTTGATTTACTTGTCTTTGGAATTCCAAGTAGCATTTGATGATGTCGCTGATAAACCAATTGCTTACATATGTTTATATATAAATGGTATTGTTTTGCTTGNCCCCCCTCCCCTCCCCTCGCCTCCTTCAAACCCCCAACCCTTACTCCCTAATACATAAACATATAATGACTTATTAGTAGAGCTTATTTCAATATTTGCTTTGGTTTTATGTCAGTACTTAAGTTATGTACATAGGAATCTCTGCGAACTTGCAAACACCTCAGTTCCAGAATCTAGGACCACATTAACTCATTCACCCCTGAAGACACATTTGGACTCTTCCAATTCAAATGTTGGAATAATTCATTATGAAATTTCAGGAATGAATGAGTTAAGATCTATACTACAGTTAACTGAATTAAATCATGTGTGATTGTTGTGATTTACATTGTACATAGTTACACATATCTGTGGTGTACACACATGTGTAAAAACATTATATGTATATAATTTCATTAATTTTGGACTGATATGGATCCCACAATGAGATTCTTTTTTGAAATTGACAACTGTAATGTTACCTATTTGTTTAAACGCAATAGATATGTTTCTGTATTGAGAATTTAGTTTTTCAAAAATGATACAGATAATTGATAATTTTAGACTTGAAATCATAAATGCCGTTTTACAGATCATACGACACGCTATAGGCGTAGCAGAATTTTCAGAGATGTTGGAAAAACACTTGGTATGGTTCTAAAGGGTTTAAGACAATTTTTGTTTATTACACATTTTCTACCATTAGAAAACCTAATACAGTTTCAATCAATGTTATATAAACCTTTACCTAGCCCATTCAGTTAAGCCTAGTTGAAGGAACACAACACTTCACTTTAAAAAGCATATTGAATGATTTTTGGCTACACACATGTTAATTTTGCTTTTGACAAAAGCTTGGATGACAATTTAAAATGATCCAATTCTTTAAGAAGGTTTACCTCCAGCAACATATAGTTATCAATGGCAAATTTGTATGTATACAAAGTATTAAACAAGGCACTATCGTTCAAACATTGACAGATATTTTACATGTTGATAGTGTGTTACTTTTGTCTTAAACCCTTGTAATAGCATATTTTGGATGGATATAAATGATTTGTACTCTTAGAAAAATGATTTGAAAATAAAACAGCATGGTTTGATATTGACCAAATGCATGAGATAAACATGTTTGTTTTACACAGGAAAGAACCTTTTTAATTGCATGTTATTGACAAGCTGACATCAGGTTGATTTTCCAATTTAACATTATAATTTTTAGTTAGAAAACAAAATCTGAGATTGCCCGGATGAGATGTTTAACGTTTGTTTGAGCGTACCATCATTGATTGTTGTTCAACATTCAGTCAGAATTATTGTGTTATGCACAAAATGGTTTTGTGTCAATACTACAATATCCCGACATGTTTACAAACTTCAGTTCTAATTCCCTTCCTGATCGAACTGGGCAAAACAGTCGTAGTTCTACCACCAAGACTGATAAATGCCAGTGATTCAGTTTTAACCTTAATGGTTATTGGCTATGTTGTAACATGCTTATACATGTAAACTCATGAGTTCACGACCCTTAAGGATAAGAGAAGTAAGGGTTTTCCTGCTAATGCGAGACCTGTAGCTGTAATTGTAATGTACGATTCCTGTTACAGTTCCTATTGCCAAAGGTTGGTCTTACACCGTGTGGTGACTTCCTCACTTGTGTTGAATCTTGGCAAATCCTCACTTCACAGAGTTAAAATAGTTTGATTTCACACTGTGTGTAATCATATCCAGTTTTATGTAAATTGCAATGAATCTCATTAACGTTGTGTGAATTGTCTTAAGCCCCATTTCACTTAAGCCATATAATAATATTCACAATACATTTTTTGTATTTTTTTTTTGAGTTCTTGTATGTTTTGCAACAAGCTCCAATATACGTACTGGTTAATTCTAGAAATGTAGCGTTTAGTTTTTTTTACCAGTACGAGGCATATAACATATCTTAAGTTGTGACATCAGATTATAGACCTATACATATTGGATAAGAACAGCAGGGTCTGTGATGTATGTTTGTAGCGTCAGGGACATTCATATCCATTTGATAAGTATCGTAATCCAATGGCCTGTCACAATACTTTTTGTTGCCTTGGTGATTAAAAGGATTTCACAATAAGTTCACAGGTATTTTTTTTTTGAACGTAAATGTAACTCATTTGATGTTTCTGGATAAATGTCATTTATATTCCGCTGAGTTGAGTGAATTCTGCAGAACTTCACAAGGAATTATCTTTTCATCTTGAATTTGTTGAACATTTAACGTTTTTCTTGAACGGAATTTCAAATATATTTACAAAACATTGTGATCACAAAAGCACACTTACTGAAGCTATATTATAACCTACTGATGACTATTTTTATAGCCTAGCAATTACATGCATTCTGTCCTAATTCAATGATTATATAAAATTGCACTGTTTATTTAGAAACATCATTTGTACAATTAATGTAATTGTTTATTGTGGAACATAATTAAGGACATTTATTCATTATATTAAGTATATATATCAAATAATGAAATCAAATTGTCAGCTATAATTTCGCAGCAACAAATTATTCCTATGAACTTAATTGATATTAATGGAAATATTAATATTTTCTGTGTAATATACAAATGCCATCTATAATTAATTATGATATGGTAATGGACAAAGACACAGCCAAAGGTTACTTATTCCACAAAAACTAAATGTAAAACACAGATTTTGCATTACTAACCTCGTTTCCGAAGCCACTCCAAACTTAAGGAGTTGTAGAGCGTTGTGGGTGCAGTTTCCGATGTCATGTTCACGTTCATCATTTATTTCAAACAATACTTCATTGTTGTCCACATACATCTACATAGAGAAAATATTGAAATACGTTTTCACTCGAGTGCACTGTATGTGATATGACAAACGCATTGGAAATTTAAAAATGCTGTTAGCGATAATAAAAAACGGATGGAAACAAGTCAAGTTAATTTGATGTAATTCAGCAAAGATAACCATTTATTAATGCCAAATCTGATTGTTTTTAATCATGAAGACCCGGGACAATACTTAAAAACTCTTGCAGGTAAAAGCATGTTACATAATACAAATCTTTCATCTATGACGGATTATTTTCCTCATTCTATTTACTCTAAACTATCCACGACTGCCCTACATTGTTCGATCTGTGTGAGCACACACCATAGAAAGTCAGCATGAACCCAAACGACACAATTCACGGCAGAAACTTGCATTAATGCTCCCAGAAAGTCAACTGATGTTTTGTTTAAACAGAACGTATTTTCTAATGTTATGTTTCAGTAAAGAATTGAGTTTTTTTCTCTCCTTCACTAACAACCCTGTGTTTATACCTGGAATTCGTCATGCACCCTATCGTTTCATTTCCTTCTGTCGACAGACGTTTAGAATGGCACTTAATAACGCTGTAGAGCCCTATTGTGTATGAGAGATGTATCGATAAATGAAGAGGATCAATGCACATTGTATTATGTGCATTGTGCACTTTAGATAGATTATTTTCTGTGTATGCTTTGTTTCTATAAATAGTGGATACAAATTCGAAAAAAAAAAGCAGGAACAAATCTTTTTCTCTAAACATGAAAGAACTGTACATCTTACGTTCGACGTTTTATTTATAAAACAAACTTAGTATGGTTTGAACATTTACTTAACTCATTCACCCCTGAAATTTCCTAATGAGCTATTCCAACCTTTGAATTGGAAGGGTTCAAATGTGTCTTCAGGGGTGAATTAGTTAAACTGGACCAACCAGACTAACATCACATCATATATGGATACAAAACTTGACCATTTATTATTATTGTTATATTAATGCCACTACTTCATTGTGTCTGGTTCTAGCTAAAGAAGCCGTGGAAGGTATTATTGATTACTGCAAGTTAGTCTACTTGTGTTGCAAACTGCTAGAGTATACACATGATAACAGTCATTTTTTGACCACGTTAAGAATTATGTTCAAATCATAGTTAAGCATCTATGCGCTATTTATAAACATGCATATTATTTTATATATTTATTTTTCAGTTTTTTAACACCATTGACTGAATGTTACTGCATGTTATGGATAAACTGTTTGAAAGTTGTATCTAAAGAGTTTGTGTTTGACTGAATGTTTTGAGTTTTTATTTAACACAATAATCCCAAAGAAATGATGTTGATGTTTTATTAAGGTGTTTTAACTTTGGTTTTGTGTTGATTGTGTGTTTGTTAAAACATAATTTCATTGTCTCATGTAATTACTTAAGGGGGTTTTAATTACAGATACAGCTTATTATTCAACCACTTAAATATTACCAGATATATGAAATAAATGCTTAGACCTAATATGGAAATATATATAGATTTATAAAAATGACATGTAAATGTTATATTCACACCCTCAAAACTAATACATCATCAATAATTAACCCAAGCAGCAATTTAACAGATTTGTTGCTACTATTGACTCAAACAAACGATTACTGTGTTAATTTTTGCAGCTGGGTCTTTCATAGCCAGTAGTGATCACGTCAGTAGTAAAAGCCTGGATAATTCTTATATGAGTTTTGTGGCATCAGATTCTATTCCAAGTACAGCCAAGACAAAGCCAACGGGGATCACTATTAACATAGCAATAGCCAGTCCACGTCAAGGTACATCCAGTTATTCCCCTTTATCAAAACTTTTGGGATATAGTTATTTCATTTTTTCTCTCAGTCTGGCATGGCGATAAATAGTACTAGTGGGATGGTAATATTAGGTTCTTTTATACTTTAGTAGCCGATCGCTCCAAACCGCATGAATGGAGATTACAATATTTTACACTAACGATGTAAAAAAACTTAGTTCGTATGACCAATTCTGTGAAGCATATTGATGAAACATTTACCAGAACTCTGCTAAGATAAGCTATATCCAAAATTTATTTCGTATTTTCAGTCACAAAAAGCATACGAGACCAATTTCTTTTGTAAAGTAAGCAAAACTGAAAAAATTTAACTTTGTTGTAAAATTTCCTGATATTTTATATGTAAGATGCTGTTTACCTTATTTCATTTGTAAAATTTGAAGTTGGTTTTGTAAATCAGTACTGTTTATATTTTTTGAACAGATTTTAATTAGGTTCATTCATGAGAAACAGTCTATTTTGCGAAGAGTTGTGAGTAAACTTGATAAAAATATCTTAACAAATGCACACTGTTATACCAATATTTAAGACAAATGTATATTGTAAATTTAAAAACGTTCAGAAAAATAGGAAAGATTCTTGTTGAACATTCAATTTACAATTGAACTTATATCACCTTATATTATTGTATATGGTTAAAAAAGACCAAAATAATCAAGAAACTTAAATACTACCCCTCACGTGGCATTACACATTAGCATTGTATCCGGTAAACACGGTAAAACTACAGACTTGTTTTGTATTTCAAATGTTCATGTAGTGATGTGTGGCAGGCAGTAGTGATGTGTGGTAGGCAGTAGTGAACGTAGACAAATATAGCAAAAAGTAGATACTAACTTCACTAGAAGAATATTGACAGAGAGCATTGACTTCGTAGAGTCACAATACTACTCTGTAGAATACATGCACGTAGACATTTTTGTATATATATGTTGTATGAAGTGTTGGTTAGATGATGTAGGCTTGAAGTGGGTGGAATTAACATAATGTGTTTGGGTCGTTAATATTTTTTGTTTAAAAATATTATTATGGTGAAGGTAGGATGTTTTATTTTGTCAATTTGTATTTTATTTGATAAGTACCAATTAGTGTCAATGTGCAGTTATAAGTGTTGTCTCGACTGTTAACGGTGAAAGGATAGTCAAATGTGTGTGTCTTTAACATTATTCAGACTTTGATTTCAAATATGGGAAACGTAGTATAAACTATTCTTTCTTTCAAACTTTCAGGAAGAGACAAGATATTTAATGGTAGGAGTATCGAAGCTTTATGAATTTGTTTTAATATCCATTTAACAGTGTTCTGGGAAAAGGGAACTCATTTCTTTGTTGCTGAATAACCAGTTTTTCAATGTCAAGGTCAACAGTCTTGTGGTTTAAACATAATGAAAACTTTATTGTAGTTTTATTTAATCAATAACGGCGGTGAAGCGTATATTGTGAATAATACATCGTACATTAATTGGATTGGTCATTTTAGATTATTTCTCTGTTCTGAAGGGGATTTCTCTTTTGGTCCCTGGTTATACTTTAAATATCAAGTTTGCTAAATAATTAGCACGATGCTAAATACTCATGGTATGTGGGTTTTATTGTGCTTGTAAAATGTACATATATGTATTGCTGCTTTTCATAACTTTACCATGAAATGATTGATTTTTAATGTGCAGCTTTTATTTCATCCTCTAAACCTTTTAATGTTCGCGTCATGTTTTTATTCAATATGATGAATTATTTGATTTGCTGAAAATAATATTTTTTCTTTCCTCTGGATAATTGAAGCATTACATTCACTACTTTAATTTGTTTTGTATACCATTTTACTTTATTACTACAATATGATAAGTCGCATTAATTACTTTTATATTGGATATGATGTGTAAACCCTCTAATATTCTTGTTAAAGCTGGAAAGTCGACGAAAGACATGAAGAACTTTGATGATCTGTCGGACGTAAGAATTTATTTGATATTCCGTATCTGAACGTTCAAGGATGAACAGTTATGCTTAAATAGTTTAGCATAAAAAGATCAATAAATAAATAAATAATAATAAATTACAATGAAAAGTATTTTATCAGGAAATGCTCTACACCGGGAAACTTACACGCTTCCCTTCTCCCCTTTTGATAACTATGTTTCTAACTAATGTTTGTTGTAATTTTAAATTCGCCCTCCTTGCGGAAGGCGAAAAAGGCGAAAGTTTAATTGCGATTACATTTTTCTCGTTATATAGTAAATGTAGGATTTAAGTTTTTACAAGCTCAATACTTTCCAAATTCCACCAATAGGAATGTTCATCTTTTCATAAAGGCTACTCCGCATATGGTCCGAATGTTGGAGAAGGAAAAGAACATGCTACACAACCAGATGCGGGACATCGAATGGAGACTTGACCAGGAATCCAAGGTAAATGTAATGGAGAGTCACCATATAGGTCCTGTGGGCCCACATGGCACTATGTGACAGCCACGTGTTCGGTCGTCAGATTTAGAGCATTTACCAGGGATTGAACCCATGTGTACTGATGGGAGCAGTTTCGATTACCGGCATTGTGTGCAACTGAAGTCTTCTTAAATCATGTATCTTTATAAACAAAGTGTAAAGCAGGGCACTACATTGTAAAAGTACCCCTCGTCTACGCTTTGTATATTCCCCGTACTTGTATAAACGTGACACGAAAAAATGAAGTGAGGAGCAGTAGGAGAGATATTTGGATAAACGCTGTTGTTCAAAAATCATGTCCAAAAAATCACAATTAGGTAAAATAAATCGTTAGAGGAAAGTTTGAAGATATGATTTATAGTCCTGTATAGATTATCACGTATATAAATATATAAGTTGTAATCTTCTAACAATCCTAGATAACGTAGTTTGTAGTTCTTAACATAGATTATAGGTCCTAATGTGCTAGTACATCGCACATGTATAAACCTTAAGTGACGTCATGTTAGAGTTATTTGTGAATAGGCCTTAATTGATGGAACTTTCATATAACTTTGTCCTATTCTATAAAATCGATGACAGGGACCTAATTTAGACGGACAAGTGTTACTAATTCCTTTCCTGCTTTTGATGATGATGGGCAATCAATATATTTACTATCTTACACAATCAGTTGATTAACCAATTCATTCTTCACTCAGGCGTATCACAAAGCACACGAAGAAAGAAAGACCTACTCAACAGAGATCCACGCTGCTGCTACTAGGAACAGACTACCAATAACACACAGAGAATTGGAGCCAATCCCGGGCTCACGAACACCAAGAGACATGGGCCGGTAAGTGATTATAATTCTTTGAAGGTATTTCAGTATAAGAAAGAGCAATTATTCTTTCCAATCGCGTTTTGGGAAATGAATGTTTATTTTTTATTTTTAATACATTTTTGTTTGCACTTAAAGTTGAACCTCCGATGCTTGCTTTCAAGCTTGTTATTTGTACGAACAGCGATATATTTCACTTTATATATATATAACAAACAGTCAGTATGCTTTATTTGGATTTGTCGCGTGTGTAGAACATCTAGTTCGTCAATCGATTTTAAATTAGTGTAATTGATTTTGCCAAACAGCCTCATATATCGCTTGTGTCATTTATAAAGAGTAAATATGTGACTAAAACGTAAGAAAGAGCAACACTCTTTAGTTTAAGGTGCTCACATATCGACAATTGGTCAAAGAAAAATAAAAACCACCCTCCTATACACATGCGTCGACCTCGGTACATGGATCCCACGTGGAACAGTTTTACACGAAATAGGTATAGTTGTCACTGATAGTCGCGGGCTAGAAAGTTAAAAAGCATTTATTTTAAACGTCTGCTCTATATATGTTCTTAGGCTGGCAAACCCGATAACGTAGTGACATGATGTTGGTTAGTGCTATTATGTATGTGTATATTTACGATTATGTTTTAACTGTCAATATGCTAATAAGAAATTTACGTATTGCAATAGTTGAAACGGTTTGAAAGTTGTGTACAGATTGTATGTTAAAACAAACCTAAAATTAATATACATAGAATTGTACAAATTGGTGCAACGATCAAACGGATTCAATTTGTTATACTACATACATTGCATGAAGTAGTTGTCAATTTAGTTGAGTGTTCAGGAACCCAAGGTTCGCTATCTCGTAATTAATATCAAACAATGAACAATAGCATATATTTCATACTAATTAAATTGCAAGCTTTTATGAGAACCTGGCTGTGTTTTTATATATGTAATATATAAATACGGCATATTGAAAGTGTTCGTATTTATTTCTTTAAATTTCTTTTGAAATTTAGTAAAACTTTTTCTCCTGACTAAATTCCTACTAACTTAAGTAACATTGAATTTTAACACTTCCTAGATTACTATTACTTTTGCTGTGAATTTTCAAAGAGTAACCCGTCCTTTGTGTCTTTTATAACTAATTGTTATCAGAATTATTCTATATATGATTTCCTTGTTATTTAATATTTAATTTGATAATACTTTTTATGTAACTTTCTACTATTAACATTTTTTCTAAATAATCTAACATATCTGCTTTACCTTTCTTGAAAGTATCACCTCCAGAATCAGCAAAGTAGATATAAGATTGCAGTTGGAAGGTTTTGATTTTCCGAACGAAGGGTAATACAAATTACCATAGCGTTTAAACATCCTATTTTTTTTGTTTATCCATATAAAAGAATAGCTACATCACACTACAGCTGACCTCTTAAATTTTCGTGAATACTCATTTTCTGTGATTGGGAAGTTTTGGATTCATGAAATGTACAGTGGAAAATGTATCCCTTCATGAACATTTTTTGAAAACATTATATGCAATCTACTCCTCTTCTTTATTAACGAAAAGAAACTGCAGTGAAATATGAGTGTTTACGCCTGATATAGACCTGATAGAGCTAGTGTGTGAGTGGGGTATTTGAAAACTGTCAACGTAGCTGCTTTGCTAGAACGTTCACGATCGATAAATTATGTACACGAAGAACGGGTATAATTAAAAGTGTTGTAGATAATGTAGGGCTTGACATTGGTGATTAAATCGGTGTTGGCGCTTGATATAAGCTAGGTAAAGATGCTACATTTGGTGCCTGATATCAGCTAGGTAGAGATACTACATTTGGCGCCTGACATAAGCTAGGTAGAAACACTACGTTTGGCGCCTAATTTAAGCTAGACAGCGACACTATGTGTGGCGCCTGATATAAGCTAGGTAGAAAAACTACAATTGGCGCCTGATATAAGCTAGGTAGGGACACTACATTTGGCGCCTGATATACATTAGCAGCTGGCAAAACATTCATGAAATGTGCAGTGGAAAATATATCCCTTTATGAACATTTTTAGAAAACCATTATATGCCATCTACTCCTCTTCATTATTAACGAAACGAAACTGCAGTGAAATATGAGTGTTTACGCCTGATATAGACCTGATAGAACTAGTGTGTGAGTGGGGTATTTGTAAACTGTCAACGTAGCTGCTTTGCTAGTACGTTGACGATCGATAAATTATGTACACGAAGAATAGTTATAATTAAAAGTGTTGTAAATAATGTAAGGGCTTGACATTGGTGATTAAATCGGTGTTGGCGCTTGAAATAAGCTAGGTAAAGATGCTACATTTGGTGCCTGATATAAGCTAGGTTGGGGCACTACGTTTAGCGCCTGATATCAGCTAGGTAGAAATACAACATTTGGCGCCTGATATCAGCTAGGTAGAGAAACTACGTGTGACGCCTGATATAAGATAGGTAGAGAGACTTCAATTGGCACCTGATATAAGCTAGGTAGGGACACCACAATTGGCGCCTGCTTTAAGCTAGACAGAGACACTACGTGTGACGCCTGATATAATGATAGGTAGCTAGGGACACTACAATTGGCGCCTGATTTACATTAGCAGCTGGTAATACAGCAATGCATACGATTGACTATCACGTTAAAAAACCCCATCAATGTTAATAATTTATGATGTTGACTGTTGATACAGGTCTGGAAAAGCTATTACCTCAGTAAATAATTTCAAAAATGTCATTGCCAGAAATGAAGCAGAAGGATTTTGCACAACGTATCACAACCGTTATCAACAGTATTGACATCCGTTATAGTTCTAAAAGGGCGGTTGTATAAGTGACCGTTAAAATAACAACCTTGATTGAGCTGCATACACGTCAGTATCTTAAACACCGCTCAGCCTTGGAAAAGTCATACTACAAAGTTATTACAGCAGTAGTTTATTCTTTTATTGGATAAACTTATTCTTTTTGTGATGAAGGTTTGCTAGATGTTGAAGTAGATATGAGTAGTGTTTAAGTAGTGTACTTAATATGGTGTGGTGTATACATGCATATTTCGGTTTTCTTCTGTTTCTATTTAGTCTTTCCTGGTCCCATTTGCTCTTTTGCTTAATTATGACTTTATTGACATTTGTATTAAATTCAATCTAATAATAACATATATATCTGCAAAAAGTGTTATGTCTGGCGATCTAAGCTCTACTAAAACATGTATTTCTTAATTATTTTCTCTATTTGAACCTTGGGTACTTGACAAATGATACATATTTGTTTCCTAACGAGTGATGATTGGTTATCATGTAATCTAGCTCGAGTTACTTAATTTTCCAATTGTATAAAGACACGAGGGTAACCGAATGTCTTTTACGATTTGAAAGTCAACTAATGCGAGTTAAATAAACATAATATTCAACTATCATCGGTTTGAGGATATTTTTCTCCCACAACGTTAAGATACTGTATCTTGAAAACTGTATGTTTATCTTGGAAATACATGATTCTTGTCTCCAATTGGAGAAACAGTTGCCGTGAACTATGACGTCACAATGAAAGATTACATCGCAAATCATTGTTACTTAACTTGACGTCATAATTAGAAAATTAACAAATAAAATAACGTTCAGGGTGTTGCCCACTAGTGGGTAACCAAAAATGTTTACCAACTCCTAGCAGGTTTATACAATGAGTCGAAAGTGAGGAAACCGATAGTGATTGTGGGAGAATTTGTTAAGACTGCCTTGTTACGCTTACTAGAACGTTTAATAATAGTTAGAACAAGAATATGTTTATGACATTATTCGTTTGATAAAAGTGTCGTCATTTTGGCATTAGCTTGAAAACTGCTTACTCATGTCGAATTATACCTTTATATATTGATTAAGGTGCGAATATTTGTATCTGATTGCAGCTTCTCACATTTAGATCGATCGCCTGATGTCATATATCAAAATATTCCCGAATTAAATGTACTTTAGTTCTTCGGTCCTTTATGCATTATTAGTTGGCATAGAATTCGGATTATGATGAAGATATTTTCTACATCAAAACCATAAACAAGTTTTAAGAGGACAGGAGAAATTTGTTGTATTAGACCCAAACATGCACCTTTGGCATTCATTGTGTCGTGTGTTCAGCGTACATAAGGTATACGGACACTCTAGTTGTTTTACGACATCATGACATCATGCTTTCGGGTTAAAATACTATTTTTGTACTTATGATTCATAATGGATCTAGTTCATTAAAAGTTCAATGAGCTATCTTTCATTGTTTGACTATTCCTAGCCTATTGCATTTAGTGTATCACGCTATTTATATTGCCATAAGCGTGCATTTCGATAATCATTTTATCATATTTTATACTAGATGTGTCATATCCTCTTTAATGTAAATGTGTTATATAGAATTGTTACAAGTGTCTATATTTCCTTCTCCCATTAAAGCTCTAGAGAGAGGTATGGTACTGTTTGAAGTTATTGGTCACAGAGTGGATTCCTGTCTATTTTAATTAATGCACATGATGTAGCGTTAGTTGTTGTAGCTGTATATAGTAATATATATATACTTTATTTATAAATATTTCTATTATCTATAGATATATTATTTGCTTTATTGCGACATATTTGATTTGCCATGGGTGGAAGCTGCCTGAGCGATTTGTAATATTTTTTATTTTCTTTCTCTGGTTTTGTTTCCTGTTTTTATAGCTACTGTCTTGTATTGTATGTCTGTAATTAGTATGTGAATGTGTTTTAAACATTAAGAAGACTTAAGAATATTCCATCTTTCTCGTCGAACACCTTCAATATATAACGTAATTACACAACCCACAGCTGCTTTTAATACGTTTAAAAAGCCACTTTAGGAAAACCAAAATCAGATCTAATACAAATGGCATTTGAAAAGCAATTTCAACGATTTGTTTAAGAAGTGTACAGAGTAAAGAGAAAAACACCTTGTGGACAAGTTATAATGTAGTCAGATAAGATAAAAAAAGTACCACTTTGTAAATTTGTGAAGGATTTTCAAATTTTTCCTAGGGCGAATTGACATTATCAATAAAATGACCAGTGACTCATGAAATTATGTTAAGTATTCCTTGATGATTGGCACAACACCTTTCCAAGTTCCACGAGAAAAGTTGAAGTTGCAATAAGTCTGTAGCATATGCAATTATTGTGTATTCGTAATTTGCATTTATACTGTATACCGGGACGTTTTCGCCACAATTTATCTATCGCCCTCCATAATGAGGAAGAATTTATCATTATATTAATATTATTACACAACAAACAATATATAGTATTGCATGTGAAGGTCGAAATAAGCACTAGGCGAATGTGGAATTTACCTTTGAAGGTCGAAATAAGCACTAGGCGAATGTAGAATTTACCTTTGAAGGTCGAAAGTGTGAGGTGGCGAAAGTTCCCTGGTGTACAAAACATATATATATAAAGACACTGAATTAATCTGAATTGATATATGATGACATTGATACGTAACCTGAATATATAACAAATAAACATGGGTAATATTGTGATGAGGCTTACGTTGTGTAGAGATGACTATATTTATTTCTGTTGCAAATATATTAATTATTGTTATCTTCCTATATGTGTTTTAAGTTTGATAATGATACCATTCACTTTCTGATTTTGTTTTCATCACGGATAAGTTGAATAGAAGATATTTTATGGAAAAAACCTCTTTGTGTTTGCAGTAATATTCCGGAAGATCAGCGGATTTTAGACCCTAAGCGAGGACCGATCAGGAAAACTGCTGCCGTTAAAAGCCTTCCAAGTCTTGAAATGACATAATGCATGTACGCGAAACAACAAACCACATACTTAACGCAGAGACTTTGTATGTACAGTGGTGTTTTCAACATTTGTATTTGTGAACGTGATGTTTTGGTGGTGAAGTAGATTAATCGTTATCTGTGATATATATTTATATCTGTGCTATTCTACGTAATAATGAATTATAGTTCATTAATATCTTCAGAGCTGAATATTGTTTGGGAAATATTTTTTTTATACTGAAAAATACCGGATTTTCATAAAACATATAATAATACACATTCTTTATTGAGGACATCTTTGCAAAAGAAGTAAAAATACTGTAGAACTACTCTTCAGTGAACACAGTCATGAATTTATTGCAAAACAACCATAATTTACTTGAGACGTTGAAATCCTGTAGAGCTTTGAATATTTCGTCGATTTTTTTTTATTGGAATATGTAATTACTTGTCTTTAAATGTCATTGTTATGATAAATCATGTATACATATATAATAATTCCTCCTATTTAACAGCGTTTATGTATATCGAAGGGTGCTTAATTGTAAATATTTTGTTTGGTTACTTATTTATTTCCAGTTTCACAATTTGAGGACAATGTTATTTGAACGACTCAAAATAAGCAAAGATGTTATAGACATATTTCTAATCTATTCAAACAAACTAGTCATATCTTATTCAGATACTTTGCTCTTAATATCGTTATCGAACCTATAAAAAGTTATATGCTACTATACACTTTACTCTTGTTAGCTGTAAACGTCACGCTTCAACAATTTGTACACGACCCAAATTGGTAGACGGTCAGAAAATGGTTCTAATAGTATTTTAAAATTGAATTTGAGCATTTTCCTCTGACAGTATGACAAAAGAGATATTCATCAGCATTTCCACCGAATAGTTTTGTTTTCAGGAACATTTTAGAGTTCACGATGACTTCAAAGTTAACATCAGAAAACCAGTGAAAACGATGTACATCGACGAAGTTTTGGAGAATTTTGAAGTGGTTAATTATAAGCATGTTTAAATGTTGATTTATGTTTATTTATGTTTATTTATAACCGGATGATATGAAAGTCTATATATACAATTGTAGTTCAGTATGGTATTTATCAAAGCAATATATTTTGTTGCAATCGGCACATCAACTAGTAGAAAAAGAAACAAGTGTCATAGCCTGTGCCAGTGTATACCGATTCGGGTACTAATTATGGCCGAAAAACGCACGAAACCTCACTGCGAGATTAGAAACATTCTCGAAATGAGATCTGAATTTTTGAATATAACTTAAAAATGAAAAAACTGTCAAAATTGTACCAATTGTCGTAGCGTGATGTTCGGAAGATTAAATTACTTTAAATACATTTTACGTCATTTTATGCATTATTTGAAATATATTAAAACATTTTTACACTGTTTTTGGCCGTCTTTTCGATAGAAGTTTTAGGTGTAATTGTGAGGTAGCGTATATACTTAAATCGTACTATAAATATATTCAGATATAACGTTTTTATTTAGTTTTTTGTTGTATTGGATCATTTTGCTAAGTATGTTTAAAGAACTATTTATGATTTATATCAGTAAATGACATATTTTCACTGGTCAATGATTTAAGTTTGATCTTTGATTTCTCGATCTTAATTTTTGAAACGTATTTTTGATATATATCGAAAAATCAATTCAAGCATCACATAATTTCTTTATACAGTAATAAATATATACGCATATGACAAGATTTTAGAGGCATTAATTCAAATGTAAAAAATGTTGTTTTGTCACAGTGGTTTTGTTTTCTGTATTTATATTCACAGTTGATTTTCAATACATATATACATTGTATATACTTTTCGATACATTTTCAAACACTTCAGACATCTTTATTTGGAGAAAAACTGCATACATAACTCAAAAGATATACAATGCGATTTTATGTGCTGTGAAATAAGATATTTTGGTTGGGCTCAAATTTCGTGGTTACCCGACAAAACACTAATTCGTAGGAGCATGAATACGTCGAATACAAGTACCCACGGAGAATAGCTTTATATCAAACTTGTAACTAAATCGTGATGAAGATATCACGAAAGCATCCAAATTAAAATCCCACAGAAATTAGTGATTTTACAGTATAGAAAGTCCTTGTATGTCTTTTGCAGTATATGTAGAAGATATTAAAACGTTATCAAATTACAGTAATATACTAATAGCGGCAGTCAATTTACTCATTGTGATAGTTTTGTATGTTGTATCTTAAAGATATCATTGCATTCCGTCCATTATTTTTATTAGAATAATTCTTTAAATATTTTTATGTTTATTTATAAGTTGTTATACACTGTTTTCTGAATTTATTCGAAACACATTAAATATTAATATAACATGATTATAGTCAACAAACAGTCTCCCTAACATTTAATGTTACTGTTGATTTCACGAAGAGATAAACATACATATGAAATTAAACTTCAAATATAGAATTTATTTTTAAAAAGTGGGGTTTTAAACATTATTTTAAATGAATGATATTGCATTTTATATATGTCAACAAAAACAAAATTGAAAGGGGGCAAATGTCCTTAGGTGAATCTGCCACCGTAGACGAGGGAATTGATGACACATGAATTGTAATAAAAAAATACATATCGACAAGAGTTGCGTTTTTGTATAAAGGTTACATTTACAAATTCATTGCAGTGTATACTGTGAAAGTACAAAATCTTGCCTGTGGAAATAATTGCGTTGTGACTCATTTAACTGATCTCGGTTAGGAAATGTTCCGTGTAGGTAGTGGTTGTGATATCTATTTATTCTGTATCTGGTATCTATACATAACAAACACCACTAAACATCCCACTTCTACAGTACACTATTTGTTTGTTTATTGTCATGAGATGTTTAAAAATTATAAACGATTTCAGGAAGTGCAAATTAAAGAAATTAAATCTGGCTAATTACTTTTTAAAAGTTACACTAACAAAACACATAATGACTACATTTTTTGTATTTTTACAAAGCTGCCTAGACCAACAATATCATTTATCAGTTGAAAATTATATACAAAATAATGTAAGTCAACACAAGCAACACTGCACAGAGATTTAAAAACAGGCTTGTTCTCCGGTTGATATGTAGTGTTTGTCTCGTAAACTGATTACTAATGCCATTGGCCGGGTCGAGCAGACCAGGCTGATGAATATTAAATATTTCTCCTTCTGCATTACATGATGGAGAAGTCAGACGATTGTCTGCCAAATCTGCAAAATAATCATATATATCTTTTAGCGTTTCTGGAATACTTGGATTTGTTTTAATCAACTGTGTTGTATACATCACTGGTATTGCTAAGAATACACATTTCGTTTTTTTGTTAACATTCGAAGTAGCAAAATATCTTTACAATAAACGTACACTTTTTAGCGGCATTCTAATTTCCGCGCTCGAAGTATTACGCTAAATGATAACTGAGCTAATGAAAGTTTCTTTAAATAATTTCTTATTGCCATTATTGTAAATGCGCCAATTCATCTGTTAAATGCGGTAACACGCTAAGATTTGAATCCGCTAAAATACGTACTTTTATACTATTTTATCAAAGTCTAACCACGTTTGTGTGGCACAAATCCCTGCTCAACAGTCATAATAGATGTCTTATATATCAAGGGCAATAACTCTTGGTGGTATTGATTCTAAACATTCATGAACCGTGATGTTTACTCTTAATTGTTAACCACAGACGGGTCAGCCCAAAATCACAGAAAATATATGTGAATTTGGTGTTATATATTGAACAACCTCACACGATTAATCTTGTTGTAAAAAGCTTGTTTAAGATGAACCCATCATGAACGTGACAAAGGTCCACCCGAAGGGGAAGATCCTTTTTACCTATCCAAATCTACATACATGCATATGTTCGAATTCCCTATGTCTTAACTCGCCGAGTACCTGTGTTATTTCGTCGTTTGAATATTGTATAGAAAGATGAAGCATTTCTCCTAACGTTTATGTATACTAAAGATTTGCTTGCCAAAAATAAGTAATAAATAATTAAATAAAACTAAATTTGTACCGATTGCTTTTCATGAGAGGTTTATCATCTATATTACATATGTTCGGAACCTAGGTTGGGTCTCTGTGCCACGGTCTCCGATTCGAAACCATACATGTGAAATAACGATTTTTTTAGTTTTGTACATTCTTAACTTTTCAAGTTTGTTGGTTTATTTAGCAACTGTTCAACGGAAGTACAAAAATATTATAATTGTAACTCAGTACTAAAAATATTTACGGTTATTTTTATTTTTTATTTTTATACCATTCAAATATCCTGGTTGTTAAGGCTAACAAACTACCTCTTCTCGTCCAAATAGTTAAAATTACTGCATGGAATCAAAATTGTATTGTATACCTCAAAAGTAAACACATTATCAGATAGTAATTGATTGACTTGCCATTTTTTGGTGATTCAGCATCGTAGGATAGCATTGCATGTGATGATCGTATCTTCGGTTTTTCTGAATATCGTAATCCCGCAGTCCAAAATGTTAAACCCCTTATCTGAAAATATTCATTTCCATCATCATCATCATCATCATCAACATCATCATCATCATCATCATCATCATCATCGTTGGCATCATGCATATGTAGTCCGAAATATGCATTTGTCAGGATTAAAATATTGTCACAGTCATAATATGACATATAAATACGAAATAAATACGAACTGTTTTCGCAAAACTCATGTAGATAAACAAATAAGCGTATGTATTGCATATTTGGTAAGAACATTACAATATAATTCGGAAATAATTCGGCTATGGTTCAACTTTTAAAGAACAGGCTACTTAGAACGTCTATTATAAGCATTATAAGTCCCCTGCTCAGCACTACCAGAGGACATAACACATTTTCCCTCCGCCCGTCTGCCAGTTAGTGCGTCCACGAGCCAATGTGTCACTCTCATTGGATCACGTATATCCTAAAAGATATCGTCTGTATTCAGAACAACTTATGAATTTAATAACTTTAAATTCATAAATTAAGAGGTTTTACACACCTGTCCCTCCGTTTCAACGATAGTTTAGGCAATTAAGATTTTCAGTTTTTTTCCCCTAGCATCACCAACGAGCGGTTCCTTTAAATTCAAAATCAATAACCTTTGAGGTTTGTATATTATGAGCCATGCCACTACTCAAAAGAGATAACTGTGACCATAAAGGTCACAACAATCCTTGGGTACTGAGGAATCTAACAGCAGAGTATACCACCTTGTATCTTGAAAGATAAATAGAGGTTCCTACTTTAGTATTTTAGCTAAAAAACCACATCATGAAAATGCATCATGTGTGATTCCGATGGGGGGAAACAATTGCCATGGAGCATGGCGTCACAATTGAAAATGACGTCGAAAAGCATTGTTACGTAAGGTCATAAATCAAAGATTGACCAATGAAATAACGTCCAGGGTGTTATCCATTAGTGGTTAACCAAAAATGATAACCAACTCCTAGCAGGTTTAACCAATGAGTCGAGAGTGAGGAAACCTATAGTAGTTGTGGGATAAACTTGACCCACTCACAGAGGATTGTACCTTGAAACATGAGTAAACAATGCATTGCATTGCACCAAAATGCTGTTTCTTCTTTCTAAGACGTATCGGTGATTTGAGAGATCAAAAGAGTTAAACAATCAAAATTTTCTTTACTACTGTTGAAACAGAGAAACAAGTGCGTAAAACCCATGAACTTAAGAATTGAAAGAGAACATCCAATGTTATGATATGTAATGAGCCCTGGTGATTTTGGCATGAATTACAGTGTATTGTGGAAGTGACCCCGTCACTAAGTCATATTTCATTATAAAAGTCCGAAAGCTGATATTTTACATATATTTTAACCAAATTCTCATTTATATATTAGTTCAGTACAAGTTTTAAGGACGCATATACTTTACCTGTTCTGTTGGTGGTCGTTTTGTACACACACTGATGACTGTTGTAATTATTACAGTTTGAACTAACAACATTATTGCAAAGTAGGTGTGATGAACTTTTGCGATGATGTTCGGTCTGGTGTCGACATCTCCACATCTCGGTGACGTGTACACAAAGTCAAGGATCATCCTCACACTTCCCGTGAATAGGCCCGTCATTAATCCCCAAAAAGCGCCCTACGCATGAAATGAAATAAAGGAAATAAACAATTTGCATGTCATGGTAAAGAGACAGAAACGCTGATCGGAAATGTCTGAACATGCACAAATCTATATCATACACTTTCTAGGTAAATTGTTTTCAATCAATTTAATGAATAATGTTTTACGTTCGATATGTGAGTCAATCGAATGGCTTGGTGACACATACAATTTACATGGCGACAGATTAGAGTGACCTGGTGACACAGACAATTTACATGCCGACAGATTCGAGTGACTTGGTGACACAGACAATTGACATGGCGACAGATTCGAGTGACTTGGTGACACGGACAATTTACATGGTGACAGAATCGAGTGACTTGGTGACACAGACTGTTTACATGGCGACAGATTCGAGTGACTTGGTGACACAGACAATTGACATAGCGACATATTCGAGTGACTTGGTGACACAGACAATTTACATGGCCACAGATTCGAGTGACTTGGTGACACAGCCAGTTTACATGGCCACAGATTCGAGTGACTTGGTGAGACAGACGTAGATGGATTATCAAAACAAGATACTAGAGTTGATTTTCGAGACTAGATACTTGGTGACAAAGGTGGGTTACTCTTTGCCACTGTGCACGTGTCAACAAATTTAGAAGGGTGTTTTAATGGAGTCTATGATGTGTTGAAGAAGGTCACGACCAATTATGTCTCATATTCACCCTAGGTTGAAGCACAGCGAGTTTGTGTACAGAACATATAACATAATACAGTTGTTTGCATTTTGCGTGTTGGTTTACCTTTTCTCCATCCTAGTTACACGTATAGAAGTAAAAATACAACAAATAATGACACATAGGTGTTTTCATACTGTGTGATACAACTGTTACTTTTTCATTGATCCTAGGTACAAGCACGATCAGTAATAGCACAGCACATAAAACAGGTTATTGTTCAGGTGGTTTTGTTAGTTCGTGCGTTGTATGACCAAATCATACGCTAAAGGTAAAACATAATCAATAATAACACAGCACATAATACATGGTACGGGTGGTGTTGTTAGTTCGTGTGTTGTATGACCAAATCATACGCTAAAGGTAAAACATAATTAATAATAACACAACACATAATACATGATATTGTAGAGGTGGTGTTGTTAGTTCATGTGTTGTGTTACCAAATCATACGCTAAAGGTAAAACATAATCAATAATAACACAACAAATTATACATGATATTGTACATGTGGTGTTGTTAGTTCATGTGTTGTATGACCAAATCATACATTCTAGGTACAACAAAAGACAGTAAGATACAGCATGAAACACATAATAATGTTCAGGAGTTTTCATTTTGTATTATGTGTTATCGTTTCATTCACCCTAGGTACAAACACAGCCAGTAAAAATACTGCACAGAAAGGCGGCACAAGGTAACCATTAATTGCCTGTATGTACATAAAGAGTTGTCCTTCTTGAGCAGTCTCCATCAGGGGTATCCACGCGATGCTAACGGCAACAAGTATGACAACAAATATTCTGAAATAATAACGTTGGAACCTTTATAAAACAAATAAAAGGGATATAAATATGATATAAATATTATAATAATAAAACAGCTTAAATGTGAATGGTCTGCCTGTTTTTTTTTTAACTTTTGTATTATTGTAGAATTCAATATTTGTTCATTGAGACGGTTTTAAAAGAAAATGGGTCAAGTGTATGCATTTTACTTCTAAATGTGAAAATTATGTTTCTTATGTCCCTATTTATGGCCTTTCCTATTTGTAATTTTGTCACAATTTTAACAGGGTTTTGCTTCCCATCAACATTACTAGATTGTATCGATCCATGCAATGCATTGTTTATACAAAAACAGATTGGCGTAAACACCGTGAAAATACACAGTGATTTAATCAAAAGAGCGTATAAAGGGCAAGAAAACTAGAAAACGCTGAACGAACAGTTTTGTTTTCCCCCTGCTTGAGCGCTAAAAATATAATATCAGCCAAAAGCTATAAATCGAATGCAACTGACAATGATTCATTCTTCAGTAACATTTGGCGTTAAATGGCGGTGAGATAGCCTCATATTACCTCTCTCTGGATTTTATGTTTCCAGAATAGAACTTTATACAGGAAATATAAGCCCTCGACAATTCACTAAACCTATACAATCACTTGTAATCCTTCAGTTAATGGGTGTTATAAAATTGTGAATTGTATTCAAAATATCAAACAATGAATGAACATTTTGAAAAAGTGACAAAATTATTCGTGTTTTAACATGAATATGTTTCACATCACAACTCAAAACCTGTAGAAACACCAGTCGTAATGATACGCATGTTTTCTTTAAACCATCTAATTATAACGCCTTGAGGCATTGTCATGAGTTGTTTTATTTACCCTTAACAGTTTAGTTCTGACATCATATTCCAAAGGCAAAATGTGATTGTGACTCCCAATCAAATGCCCTGACGCATCGTATTGTTTGGGTATCTCCAGCCGCTTCCGGGAGTGAAGGTATTTTTGTTTTGCCCTAAGCATCACCGATAAGAGCTTGAACGACGAACAAGCTGTATGATGCAGTATAATTCAGTTTTGGCATACTGTGTTAATTACCAAATTTCAAAGTTGCAATCACGTGTATGTTTCTAACAGTCATCTTTTGAAAAGTACATGTTCTGCAACTCGTTTGAGTTTGTAATAATATCATGTTTATCTTATTCGGGTTATACCCATTTTTCAAATTGTAAATAGACCCGAGGTTTACCAAAATTACGTTATTTTTATAACTATGGTATCATTGTACCTTAGTATTGCTCTTTCGGAAGCAACTTCTTCTATACGCCAAAGGTAAACTCACTTTCCTATAATGAGTAATTCTCTTTCGGAAGCACTTTGTCGGAACGTTTTCCATATGTCCAAGGTAAAGATCACCGCCGAGCTGTTGAATACTGAAGTCAGGGAACTCATAAGTGCAGCAATCATCACGGCCATCATAACACCACGCATGCCTACACACACATTCAATACATTCATTTACACAATCAAGCAACATCATGTAACACGATTAAAATTATAGTATAACACTGTCGAAGAAAATGACGGACTTCTTTTTATTTGTTTACATATAGGCATTTTTACCAATGTTACTTCCAGGTGGAGGGGTTTCATTACATTTGATATACAAAATATTCCTGAAGGGTTTATAAATATATGTATCTGACTACTTTTATAGGATTTATGAAAAGATTTCTCACATCGGTCTCAAATCGTTTTTGAGTAAGATAATTTCACAAAGAAAACATGGCAACTTTTTGTATAAATTTTGAAATTAAGGTTGTAATACTTACCGGTTGGAGCAAGACTAAGAATCAACTTTGGATAGGCTAAATTAGAACATCCAGCGGGGTTATTGCAGACCCTCATGCACATTTCCGCGTTTTGACAAACCAGCGACTCTGTATAACGATTATATCAAAGACAGATGTTAGTGATTGTGAGAAGATCGAATATTGATTTTAAAATATGCAGTTATAAGGAAACAACAGACATAAGTATTTCCTCCTCCCTTTCTTTTCAAGAAAAGCAGGAAAGGAGAAGTACAGAGCAGTCCAAATAGCCCCCGTTTATCAAGGTGACATGCTTGGATTAATAAAATCTTTTAACTGTAACTGAGCGAGATCGGGTTATCTCGGTCGAGGGTTAAGATTCTGTAATAAAAATCCCAACCGAGGCGTAAGTCGAGGTTGGGATGATACAGAATCTTAGCCCGAAACTGAGATAACCCGATCTCGCTCAGTTACAGGTTATTTAAATGTTTTCTCGCACCTTTTAGCTCGAAAAGAACTATTCAGTTTTGCTAAAAGCTACATTTGAATGCTTCCACGTAATAAAGTAGACCGTCCTTACATAGATTATAACGTATTTCACAGTGTAGATTATATTTTATCTACAACATCATATATTTAACCACATGGAAAATATACATATAACGACAAAACAGAACATTTATATACAAATTGTCAATTTCAAGCAGTTAACGCGCGGATGAATACATCGTAGTGTAAAAATTCCGCGAAATGTCACGTAAAGGTACAAGACAGATCGGACGAGATAGAAAAATCTAGCATGGGGTATGATGTGGGATATCACTGTCTAAGGTGCGAGAATAAGGGATATCTACTGCTGATCCAAGCACATTTTAATTTTAATCATCAAGTAAATGGGAAACAATAATACTCACTAGGGTCATATGCTATGCGCGTATTTAGAGAAACTGGAAGCTAAGGTGCGTTATTGGGACGACTACGGTTCAAATTACACTTTCCTTACCATGTGACCGGAAGGACTGAACATTGTCTGCGCATGCGTATATTATTGGAAGAAAGGCAGTGATTACTTATTGACTCTCCTAATTTGGTGAATAAATGAAGATACTAAACATACCTGGGTAGAGAACTCTACTTATCATTCCTGGCATGATAATTAGAAATAAAGGCAAAAACTTGAGGAATCCGGCAAAGACAGTTCCACCTCTGGCGTGAGCAATGTTTTTAGCAGCAAGCACGCGCTGTACTATGATCTGAAATTAACGTGAAAAGAGACATACTCTGGTCTCGAGTTATATAAGACTTTAAGATATGAATGTTATAGTGTTGTGACATGCATATATTTTCTAAAAGAACTCTAACCTACATATCAATAGATTTACCTTTTTATAGAAAGTTATTTGAATTTGGTTGACTAAGGACACATTTGAGAGATAAGCCATTATGTACGCTTGTGTGATTAATGATCGCGTTACCGTACTTAGTGTTTTGTTCCCTAATCATGTCGTGGTTACATTTTGATGCGTCAACCTTGTATTGTTGATTTTGGCTCTTTTGTTATTAATTACTATAGTTGCGCCATCAGTCTATTGTGTTACGGTAGTTTAACTGCCAAATGACAAATCTCGGTCATCTTTATTTAGCCCTTCTTCACCTAGGTATTTCACCGAAAACATGTCAATCAGGTACGCTTTGTTTTTCTATATTCCATAATTATACAGCCTTTTTACTTCATTTCACTTGGCTGCAAATATGAACTCATCTCTTAGAATACTTACTGCGATACCTATGATGATGCTATCGATAGGGAGCTGAAGTCAGCAGCGAGTAAGTTATTGATAGTTCGCTATTTGAATTACTAATCCGCTGCTGGCAGCGGTTTAGTTATTTGAATATCGAACTTCAAATAACTCGCTCGATGCTCACTTCAGCCCCCTGTAATCGATCGCTAGGGACTTACCCGTATTCCCTTGAACAACATTTACACAACATCTCATATAAAAACATTGAAATGTTATGACACCTTCATATACAAAATATACCTTTATTGACGTGTTTGCATGAAATTTGTTGCGACGACACAATTTTGGCATTGTTAGATTTTGGTGTGTTTAATTTTGATTCATGATTTACGATGCTTGTTCAGATTAACAGTCACTGGTGCATTTTAAAAAAATTCTCGTTATGGGATACTGATACTGCTAATAGTGATAAGTGTACCGGTTAAATCTCTCGTGCAGTGTTAAATTTTAATCAATGTCCCAAAATAAAAATTGTAAAAACAAAATATGGACGAACGTTTCTCATTTTCAGTCTAGTGGTATGCACTTTTAAAGACGTAAAGATATTTTGAAACTTAAGTCGATATAATATATAATACTTGATACTAGAGGTTATCGAGTGGAATCATCCGAAAGAAATGCAAAGCATTTAGAACTTCATGAAAGTATATAACTGTAAGGTTTATAACATGTTCTCTTACCTGATCTCCGCACCAATACAATACTGATATTATAGTTGACCTCAATAATACTCCTGGCCAGGGGAGGTCGGAGTTCACAGGGTCGCGGATAAGGTGAAACGCATCAGCACGAGGAAGACCACATGGAGAGTAAGAGCTGTTACCAAATATTAAGTTACCGGTCCCATTTGATGATTTATAACCTTCCGGCACTGCTTCGAAGTACTTGTACATCAACCCACCGAGTCCCCCTACTTCTACAAACGCTGCAGAAGAAAACAACAAGCAGTGGAAAATTGATTGTCCATGACGCTATCTCTCTCAGAACTGTTTTCTTTTAGAAACTTTTGCCTAGTAAAATTTCGCCCTTTGCCTTTGAAATCCAGATTCGCCTAGTGGTAATTTCGCCCTTGGCCTATATATACCATATAAATATTATGGTTTTCTAATATGCGCTGTCATGATAAATTCGCCCTTATTACTAAGAAAGAAAAGGGCGAAAGTTAAACTGAGGCAAAAAACTCACGGTATACAAAATATCTGTCTCTTATATTTTAAGAACCATTGATGCATTTCTCATTCTTTATCTTGAAGTTTTTTGGCTGAGAAGGACCTCGTTTAAACGAGTAAAATACGTTATACTTAATCTTTAGATGTACGAAATGATATCAGTTTATTTATATCTCAATATAAAAAAACATTACCAAAAAATCATTCAAAATGGATTTTTTTTTTAAATGCCGTCTTGTGGTGTTTTTTTATATAAAACTTTACTGATGAATTTGCAATCCGGAAATCTCATCAATATACATTTATATTCATTGACACCCATATTTAGTTATACTTCATAAGGTGGGATGCACATATTTTAAACACGGTCATTTCTTGTTTATTTTGAAATTGGCAGATAAACAGCCAGCTAAACTATTTTCATACTTACCCATGATGGACAGTGCTAATGACCCAAATACCATAACGAATGTCTGTAGTGCATCAGTAAAAATGACAGCTGCCAGGCCACCTGTTTGATTACAAATTACGTAAAATTACGTATGCTTCATAAATCGATACATTGGTTCGTGAAGAATCCGAATTGTAAGATTGCCTTGCTTTTTATGAATGGTATTGAATGGTATTGGATTTAAGGGTAATTTCTGATTCATAAATCGATGCATCAGTTGCATTGACGTTAATTAGGCCGGTAACACATTTTCGTAAAACGCGGTATCTATGGAAAGGGAATTTTACAAGCTTTTAGATGAGCTAAACAGCGCAGGAATCGGTTCATAAAACAAAGAAGGTAACATGTAGCTTTCGTTTTTTTTTTTGCATATTCTACACAGATAATTAGAAATATTTCAAATATCATTCAAATCGCTTCCGAAAAATGCTGAATGCGTATGCTCTGCTTGTACAACTTCCCGAAGCGTTTCGTTTAACACATTATGTTTCACGTTCATGTGATGGCAATCATTTAACCATCTGATTGGAATCCCGGTGTTTTACTGTATACCGGGACATTTTCGACCTTTAAAGGTACAATCTATATTCGCCACATCTAATTGCTATGTATATTATGTTGTTTACTGATGTTCGCTGTAATGATAAATTCCCCCTATTATGGAGGGCGAAAAAAGCGAAATCAAACTGCAGCGAAAATTTTCCAGTATACAGCATATTTGCAGTATATTCACTGTAATGATTAGTTATGAACATATATTTAAAGTTTACATTAAGTGAATATACTGTTATTTTATCTAACTGCATCAATAAGGAAGGGCAATATGTAACAATGTATTTGTTTAAGTCATGATAGAAAAAGTTACCAGTCTTTTATGTTCATCAAATCGTGTAAAATATAACAATATGTCCTTATCTTAAATTTCTTTTAACTCAGGTTTCGCTACGTCTAATTTTGTTTTATCTGATTGCATGGTGGCGGACGCTTAGCCTTCGATTATGTCATGATATATTCCAGGGGTGAGGTGAGCAAAAGTGAGCGAAACCCCTGGAGTATCGAGGTTGACGTTCATCTTGCTTACCTACTATGGTATACACTGCTGTTATACCCAGAAGGAATATAATTGACAGATACGTGTTCCATCCCAGTGCCAGTTTCACAAACAGTGCTCCTGCGTAGACGTCTACCTGCATGTATATGTATACGTGTAAACACATGTTATGATTGAAATGTACAGCAATATTAAATCTATTTCGTAACTGTTGACCAAGGATGGTAACCTCTGGATGTGTAAAGTAAATCTATAGCTTCAACTCAGTTGTGTTTAATGTTTTAATATTTGTCAACAGCTTTTGTAAAACAAACACTTACTTTGGGTAATGTTAAAGTTATTCGCATTTTCTGTTTTTGCTTTTCAGATTGCAAAGATGTGTAAACAATGCAGTTTAGTATTTTTACCATATAAACAATTTGTCTCATTTAAATAAACTGATATAGTGGTACCAATCATGAATTGTCTATAAAAAATCAAATTCAGTTTTACTAGAATTACTACAATATGTTCTAACAGTGTTAACATGACACTAATAGGTAGGCCAATACATTATCAATACAAAATTCATCATTACAACAACAGGTTGGCCTTAAGGATCGGACCTTGACGTCCTGATTTTTGAAATATGCCGACATGCATTTTGTTTTTATTTTGTTATATTTTAATTTTTGTTTTTGTTTTTGTTTACATTTCAACAAATGTGACTCAGTCAATGTTTTCGGACTCAATTTACCCGGACCTGTCTGAGAATGATAGACCTCTGCCACTTAATTAATTTACTTCGATTGCCCATGTCAATAATAGATATGGCATACGTTTTAAGGAAACATATTTCTCATAAACAAAGTCGAAACGCAATACGGTACTTACCGAAATTTTCGAGACTATATTCAAAATCATAGCCAAAACACTCATATACAACCGCAAACGGCTGCCTCCAAAACGTCTGTAGAGATATTCTGGAACAGTGTATAGCTGAAACAGAAGCACAGCGTGTATGACCTTCATCTTTGTAGAGAAAAGATTGAGACTTTTTATCCAGTAAAAAACATGTAATATTGGACATTACCACAACCCAGCTCAGATTTCATATTCCACTGGAAATAAGAAGATATTTTTGCAGCTCTACGAGCCATTTCTTTTAAAATTCATTAAACCTCCTTTATCTGTTTAAACCCTTAGTTTCAGCCTTTTTACCAGATATCTGTGAGACGTCCTTCAGCTGTACACACCATGCCAGAATAAAAAAATAGGCATTAAAAGGAATTAGTAGCACTGACCATTAGATAGTACTGATATCGCGGTCCTTCAATATTTCAATCAGAAGTCAGAGGAGTTATCGCAGCTGTTTCAACTTTTGTCAAAGTACTTACACCAGAGCTAAGGTAGACCGGTAGGAACACCCATCCTAGCAGAAGAAGACAAATAGCGGCCTACAAGAAAAAGAAAGGAATAACGTTTGAAAAGAATAGGGCCTATTTTGTCAAATAATACCCTTAAAATCGATTATATACTGAAAATATATACTTCCTAACGAACGTTTTCGTAGGTGATACTGATCTGACCTGATGCCAACGTCTAGTGTGGTCAGTTTTTCTTTGGGAAGCCAGTGATAAATATAATGACGACCGAAATAGCTGGTCCTTTTAGTAAGAAGTAAAATAACGCTGTCGACCGACAACAGAATGTCAGTGAGTCTGATTTTTCACATAACACATGTTTGTTGCTTTGAATTTTCGTAATGCAAACAAGAAATAAAAGTATCATTATAAATCGAAAGATTTCATGCAAGTAGGATCATATTCGAAAGGCAAATTAGTGTGTTATTTAAAGAGAATGATAGCAAAGATTTGATGCAATCTATCTGTTCAAGATGGACAAGTATGCTAGCTGTATGCAAAAGGGATTTTTGAGATCCTTGTATTGTTTTGTTTTGTTTTTGTTTTTGTTTTTTTATCATGATTGTAAATATTTATGCACCATGTAGACTATCGTCTCTTAGTTGTAATGACAAATATCTGAAAATGAGGTAGGATTATTTCTCGTCAGATGCTATTCCCGATTGAAACATTGCGTAGGTATATACATACATGTATAATGCTGTAAAATATAACGGGACTACTGAATAAAGTAGTTTGTATGTATTCATTGGGTTAATAATACATGTATATTGATGAAGCTTTGTAAAAAATATAATGAAAATGTAAATGATATTAACATTCATACTTACTCCCCATTCGAAAGCTACAACACCAATACCAGAGGCCGCACCACTACCTGCTAGACCGATAAAATGTTCACTCCCAATGTTACTGGAAAACAGTGAGGCACCAATCTGGAAATAAACATACTAGGGTCTTTGACATCCTAGCAAAGCAAGCATTTTTTTCATCTGAAACAATAAGTAAAGGCATATTTACTATACGTTTACAATTTTAAAACAATTTCGGCTTCGGTATATAGTTAGGGTTATATATACCATGATTATAAATTCCTTCATTGCAAAACAATTATTGATATATGTTTACATACTAAGTAATATTGTTGCTATATTAGGGTAAAGAAAACCACTGCATCTGTTGAAGTAGCGAAGAAGAGTTTCATTTTTTTTTATTTACTTGGATACTTCTTCCTTCTATTTAAGTTAAAGCAAGAAATAGGAGTTTCTTTAGGGTAGAGTAAGTTCCTCTGTCCAGGCATGTAATATTTCACTGCTTATAATTTCTAAAATATAAAATATGCCATGCAGTCTATAACTTGGATACTCATTATGATGTTGAGCATTAATAAGTCTTATTATATGACTGGTGCTAATTCCCAGCCCTGATTGGAGGAGCGACGTCATGTGACGAGTCTGTAAATATGTTACCGCCCTCGTTCTATGAATAGAAAAGTGTTACAGACCTCGACCTAACTCAGACAGGCAGGTGCGGAGTTATCTAACACACGCACACAACGAACGAACGAGACTGATGTTATTAACCGACTGGCGACTATCTACGAATTGTAGATACACAATACAACTACCTGCTGTCGATATGTATCACTTTTACAGTTACAAACGTATAGTCACCGACTACTGTGTCGTGACCACCCTCAAAACACTGAGCTGTCAGTACAGCTATCTTTAGCCCGGGTACTGCTGGTTGTGAGCGTGTCGTGACCACTTAACACTACAAACTACACTATATGTACACAGCTATTGCCTAGAACCATCCCTACTCAAGACCTATGTCATGAGCACTCACGACCTAGTCGTGGAACGATACCCCGAGCAACTCGCGACCTATAGTCGTGAATACTGTGAATTTAGAACACTGCTACAGTTAGATTAAGCACATTACTTTTGCTTTGCCCCTTCAGCCATGTGGAGCCCCTGCATTTATACTAGATGTGAATTTGAATCACAGGAAAATTATCCCAACCAAATATGGCTGATATCTCTCTCATACGTACAGAAAAAACACTGTTTGCCAAAGTATCATTTCGTCCCAACCCCTCAGCCGCTCTTTTTGTACAATTTTGAATTCCCACTTCCTGACAAAGCTTCTAAGCAAATATGTATAATATTTTACTCATAGTTTTAGAAGAGAAAATGTTTAAAGCAAAATGACCATATTAACCACTTTTTCGCTCGTACCCTCAGCCCCCTGGGTGTTCAGTCGAACTATTTGTACAATTGTGAATTGTGAATTCGGAAGAAGAATTTGTTTAAAGAAAATTGATGATGGGCAGACAGACGGATGCCACAGTACAAAATATTAATTAAGCTCACCGGTCTGTCCTTTGGACCAGGAAAGCGAACAAGAGGCCCAGGGGGCATGTATCGCTCACCTGGATATCTAAGCAATCGTGGCAAAATATTCTCATAATAATATCCCAGGGAATGGGTGTAACCCCAAGGCCAATCCTTGTAGCATAAATAAATGTAATAATATTTTCATGTCCGGCAATTTTATGTATAGTTATGGGGTGAGGATCTCAACTGTTTCCAAGCTGTGACTCAGCAGCAAGGTCCCTATCGAGTTATGGCCAGATTCCAGATATCAACCCTTTCCAATAAATTGACTATTTTCCCCCATCCCTTAGCACAAGGGACCAGCCTGTCCATTTCTACAACTGTTAATCCCCACCATGCAGGGATGCTTCCAACAAAATTAAGTTGATATCATTCGCGAGATCCAGAGAAGGTCGCTTAAAGCAAAATAGCTAAATTACCCATTCTGGTCCCGCCTCTTAGCCCCCTGGGGTGTCAACCGAACCATTTGTACAATTTTGAATCCAATCTACCTAAGGATGCTTCCAGTCAAAGATGGTTGATAGCCATCTCTTACTTCTAGAGAAGAAGTCGCTTAAAGCAATATAGCCACTCAACCCACTGGGGGTCAGCCCCACTATCTGTACAAGTTTGAGTTCCTGCCTCCTATGAATGCTTCTGAACAAGTAAGATTTATGTCGAGTGCATAGTTCTACAGAAGAAATCGTTTATAGCAATACAGTTAAACTGTCCCCTTTTGAGCCCGCCCTGCCCCTCAGCCCCCTTGGTGGTCTGCACCACCATTTGTACAATTGTGAATCCCCACCACCTAGGAATGCTTCCAGTCAAATTAAGTTTAATTCCAATCATTGGTAAGAAGAAGATTTCGTTTGAAAAATTGACGTACGGACGACGGACAGACGACTGACGACGGACGCCACGGTACATAAATGGCATAAGCTCACCTTGGTCCTTGGGACCAGGTGAGCTAAAATGGGATACAACTCAGGATAGCAAATCGCTCTTGTTACATGTTATAACCTCAAATCCAGGATGTTGCTTGTTCTGTAAGGATAATGGAGTTACTTTGTAGGTAATTAGTGGTCAAAGATTCCTTCGTGGTAGTCACCTCAAAATAATAAAAAAAACCTGTAACTGGCATGTTCATGATAAAGACTTTTTTAAATGGATGCAGTGAAGGATTTTTGACGAGCAGACGTCGGGACAAAATGTGGATTTTTTTCAAATGTAAGAATATCATCTGAGACTCATGAGGAGTTGATCTGCATCCGAAACGTTTAGAATTTGGAAGATATCTCGTTTGCTATTCTTTTTTATTAATATGATACATTTATGTTTAATATTATGATTGCGATCATAAAATAAATCCTATAGCATATTGCATATCATAAACAGTTTGGCATAGCTACTGTTGTCAAATGTTTTTCCCACTTGAAAATAAACATAAATAAACATATCCTGCATCTGGCACACACACATGCACGCTTACACAATACACATGGAGGCACGTCCTTAAATGACTTTACCTGTTAATATGACGTTAAAAATATAAAACAAACCATTGATGTCATTGACTGGCTATGAATATAATAAAAGAGATATTTCGCATGCATTAATAAAGCATATTTTAGTAATTAAACTGTCTTACCGGCAACCATGTCATCGATGTTCCTGCCAAAAAGTATCCTTTGATTGTGTTTCTTTCTTTTTTCCATGTTGACTAGAAGAAAATAACAAGATTTGATGTATGTTAATATTCACATTGGCTTTGGCTTCTAACTTTGTCTTGGTGTATTGATAATGTTATATTTCATTTCTATTTCCTCGAAGTTAGATAGGCAATGACATAGAGGTTCAAACGGGTAACGATTGCTTTTTTATGTTTATCTAAGGCGAGTTAGTTAATTTTCCTATGGTATAAGAACGTGAGGTTTACCGAGTGTCTGTTACATATGAAAATTAACTAAAGATGTTATATCAAGAATATCATATGATTGTTTCCGGAATAAGTATTTCCTTTTTTCGATCCGGAAACAATTCCATGCGCTGTGACACCACAATGGGAGATGGCGTCACAAAGCGTTGTTCAATGACGTCATAATTAGAGGATTGCTTAATGAAATAACGTCCTGGTTGTAACCCAAAAGTGGATAACCAACTCCTAGTAGCTTTACCCAATAAGACGGGAATTAGAAATCTTATAGCGGTTGGAAGGAGAAATGATATTCTCAAGTCTTGAAACACGCATTTAACTAAAAATAATTATACAAAAAACTACCTTTGACAGTGTTAATTTACTTTTGTTTTAATTCACATCTCATACATTTTCATTTCAAAGATCAATCAGTAAAAGTCAATTTTTTCCTGTTCGATTTTCAACTGATTTTAATCGATTGGTCCATTAAATGACTCACTTTATTTATTTTAATGAGTTGTCCATAAAAGTTATTAAAATGAAAATTCTTATGATTTTAATGGAGGTGGAACACTAAGAAATAGAATTTGCTGAATCTCTCTATAACTATTTTACTGACGAATAAATCCATTGATTTCATTTTTGTTCATGTTATGTAGACCAACAAAACAAAACTGTTTGTGTCAAAGGTCTACTTCTGGTTTTCGGTTGAGGTCAAAGTTCAAATGTACTTTTTTGGGTAACAAACTTTGAAAAGCTTGTTCTCTAGTTCTTTAAGGCTTTTAGTCTTGATATTTATTATTTAAGGTGCTCAGATGTTTATTTATCAGATTTGAAGAAATAGCTGACATAGATCAATGATCGAGGTCAAAGAGGTCAAATGTTTGAAAAGGTAAATATTTCTTTAAACCCTAATATTTTAAAAACGTTTAAAGGCGTTTGCATAATATTTTGATATGATGTGGATGAGGCCAATGTATGGGTCAATGTTTAAATGTGCTGTTTCAAGGTAATCTCGTTCAGTAACCCTTTTTCAAGTTCTACGAGAGCTAGGGTGTTACTACTTGAGCTAAAACATGCTCGGGTGATTGGCTATCAATCAATTTTCAAAGTCACAAGGGTTAAACATGTCAAAATATTAAAATAAAAAGGAAAATTGTTAGGTCAATGAAATTCGGCAAGGAAAATTCCTGAACGAACGGCTTTAATATGTTTCATTGGGTAACCTTCACATACATTGATTTTGACAATGACTGTCACAATCCATCCTTTAAGTTTTACAGTTTTGGAATTGAATCAGGGTTTTCAGTACTTTGATTTATATTAAACGGAAACCAAAGCTTACTTTCAGTACTATGGTTTGTGTTATCTTTTTCTTCATAGAGGGTAAAGACCATGATGTTTTAAAATAGGTTAGAGATCAAAGACCAAATAAGTTCTACAGTTGTGGGACCGCACAACGCACCAAAAATAGCGTGCGCACACCGTGCATACATCGTTCACACACCGTCCGCACATCGTCCACACATGGTGCGCACAACTGTGCGATTTAGCAATCGTTCGCCCCGTTGTGCGCTTCTCTCCGCACAACTGTGCGATTTGGTATCATTTGTAGATCAAAATTACGGAATGACAAAAATACGGAAGGCTTGTATGCGATAATGTACACTGTGTATATATCTGTAATTTCTCATCACAATAATCAAGATTATACAATTTCACAATGCGTGTTACACAGTATTACAGCGACCGTTAGGCTGTCAAGAATGGGTTTGGCTCCAAGGTAACAGAACAGGTAAATAACAATTTTATGAGTGTCCGGAGTTTTACCTGACCAGTGCCTGACACACAGAGCTGATATGCGATACCGTTTGACCGTAATGAATAGTATTTGTTATTTGCATTCGTTTGCCTATAGCTCCCCTTCACCTGGATTTTCACACCCCCGGCCTTACCCGACGAGTTACGTAAGTGCCCCAGGCGGGGAGAAAACTACGGTCCAGGTACATGTACAAAGTGGTTATGTTTACCTGTATACGGGATTGTGTTGTAATTTTACATGTGTCGATTAAGTTTGTTTAAAAACACAGAAAACACAATTTCTAAATATAAGAATGTATAGACAGAAAGATAAGTTTATAGATGTTGCTAAAATATAGAAACATACGTAAACATCAAGTTGATATGTTTAAACACGAAACCGTATAAATTGTTAAGGCATTCCTCAATTTACACCAACCACGATTGTTATCGCACAACGTCCGTCCATCGTGCGCACAGATGTGCGCAAGCAATGATCGTCCAGCTTTTTATCGTTCGCCCATCGTGCCCACACCGTTCACACATCGTTCACACACCGTGCACACATGGTGCGCACACCGCACATCGTGTAACGTTGTGCGATCTCACAACTGTAACGGTGAAAAGCCCGTCAAATTGTTAGCGAACAATTTCTAGTAATACTGATCCATGTTAACACTTACGCAGGTGACTGGATATCTCTATTTTTATGGTATATGTTGTAGCGTACGTTAAAATTAAGGCTAATATCACCAACAGTTTAATAAAGCAGTACCTCTACAGTAAGCAATACAATGCCTCAGCTACCGGTCATACATACCAAGACAGCTATTGAACGATATTTGATATTTGTTATACATGATTATACAACTTCTTGTACTTACCCATATTCCTACCACGATAACAAGAACAAAATACCCCACCAATATAAAAATGTCAACGGCATGGTCAAGTCCAGCCATATCTCTGATGTGTAAATTCAACTAAATTCCTACTCTTTATAAACATAAGCAGTTCCTTTATCTAATGATGCCGGATTCTGAACATGGAATGCATGTCCCAACAGCGGAGTCACGAATGAACAGCCTCGACACTTCAGGGTTTACGCTCAGTTACGCTGTCATCACCCCTAGAATGTGTCATTATATATTAGAGCGCTCAGTGTGCGCCACCTTGTGAGTGTAACGGTAAAATTGACTGACTTTGAAGATTGGTGTTGCTCCTCTGTGCTCTTCAAAAGATATGTAACAGCCTAGCTATTTGTCAGTTCTTTTAACCTTAGACCAGTCAAATAGCTAGTGACGTACCTTCAATTGTGCTATCACACATTCCAGGTGAGCAGAGACCGTACAGCCATTCCGAACTGATCGTAGCCAAACTCCCACAGGTAAATCTTTGCAACATTTCTTTAAAGTTACGGATGTGTACGTGGCACAAACAGTTTCCTCTCGGTTTAAACAGTTGACCTTATCTCATGTGTATATATCGTGTAGTTTGGACTAAATGCATTAAGCATTTAAGAGATGAAGCTATTTCAACCATTTTCTTTTATCATTGACACAGTCAGTCGTGTCTTCTAATCGGTTCGTCATATTGTCTGTGAATGGAAAAACTTTGCATGTAGGGTTTTAAATTATGCATACTATTGGAGACATCTGTTCACTTATCATCGATCGGGAAAAATACACTTGTATGATCTTATCTGAACATTTTATTACAGTTGTCATTGTATTTGTGGAAATAATTAATTTCAAGTTCTAAGGAATCAGATTACTTAAATCAGTTTAAGAAAATATCAAATGCAATAAAGATTCCTTATACATGTTTTTCATGCATTTCGCAAATACTTAATTTTAGATGTTTCTTAACCTTTCTTTTTTTGTGTGTATTTTGCACTGAAAGCAACCGGTCTTCTTATAACACATAACACATCTTGCTTTCTCTTATTACTCGTCCGATGTATTAACATAATTGTATTGTTCATGGAAGTTATTTTATGAGACTTTGCTCTTTGTATCAATCTGTGTGGATTTACTTAACAAGATCAATGTACATTTCTGTTGACCATCCGAGTAAAACAAAACTGAAGAAAAATGAAACACTTGACGATCACGAACATAATTTCATTCTAAAGAGCCTGTACTATTTGATGTAGCATTTCAATTGAAGAACACGCATAAATGTTTCATCTCAGGTGCTGACATTTCGTTAATGGTTTTCTTTTCAGAAATGATTTATCATAGCTGTTATCATACCGGAAAAACAGCCAACAATGCATTACTACGTTTTAAGCCGTGGTACATGGTACGGTGATCGTTAAAATGTTACTTTTGAGCCTTCTCTGAAGTCATTTCTTATTGCAAATTTACCTTTGAAAATTTCGTTTGTTTGTATGTGAAAGTGCAGTCTACATCTTTAGATGTTTGAAAGACAATGATTTGTAATATACTGTCATGTCATAACAGAATTTCCATTTAGATGATCATTCAACGTTTATGCTTTGATACGTTACAGGATATTAATGAAAAAAATATACAAAATATGTGAATATGACTATAATATATGAAATACAATTGAGACATCTATTGTTTTTTTAATCTGTTATTTTTTTTTACCGTCGGATGAGTTGGTTAGGTTTTATTTAAATAATACATAAACATACACTATGACTGGGCCATATCCACACGTATCAACCCTTTGGTAAAATCTGTAGCATAAAGACACCTCCCCCGGACCACACAACGCTACCGCTATACAAACGTTCAAGGTAGTAGCCTTTTACAAAGAGTTCACCCCTTCATGCCATCCACCACCATCATACGACAAGCAGAATCTGAACTGATCCGTAAAGTAAAAAAGCTTCAAAAGCAGTACTTCTAACGGAGTCCTGTTAGGATGAACCTTGTGCAGGGAAGCCGCATGTTTGAGCTAGCCATTTTTAAAAGAGGTTTCTCATCGTATGGCATACACCAGACCTCAAAATATTATCCTCATTTTCCCACCTGTAGGCAATTTCGCAGGTTCAACATCTGTTTCCGACGGTTGTCACGAACGGTAGTTATACTATGTTTGCAACTTTGTAGGCGATTGCATATCGACCACATTTTGTTCAGACTGTTCAACAACATATTTATTGTATTAACACTGGAACGGAGTCATTGTTCAACTTCACGTTGCAAAAGCATCGCATAGAGCATGTCAATAAACCTTCTGTTGTTTTTTAATTATTATTTTTAGTTGTCCTTTTATATTGGATGAAAGAAGAATTATGAAGCTTTGACCACTCACCCGGAGAAATGTTAAGGCCATTATCATAAACTGTCTATACCTACATGTATCTATGTTGAAAAAGATCACACGTGCTATTATTCTGAAAATGCTACCATCGCGTCATCACCTGATGCAGCGTTACCAGGTTTACGTCACCAATTTTATAAAAGATTTAGTTCGCTCTTGATGAGAGTGCCATGAAGTCGTCCTTCAATGGGGTCACAGTTTCATTTGATTTTAAACAGTATTCAATTGTGGGAAAACGAATAATAACCGGTTAATCCTTGGTAATGCAGACAATCATCTTAACTCTCGGGATTTGATGTGCAAAGTTAAGTTATTGGTAAAGCCTGCCGCTAAATTCTTTCTCCTGCTGAGTTTTTCTGTCTATATCACACATGGCAGATACACTCTAAGGGTCCTATATTTACACTGATGAATAATCAATAGATTTACTGATAAGAAAGAATCTTTATTAACCCTGAATATTACAGACAGCAACTAATGTAGATAAACTTTAGTCACCAACAATCTTCACACATTAGGTGTCATAAAACACACATTGTAAACATGTTATGGGGATGCACAAAGTTTGCATAATATATCAGAGGAAAAAATAACATTTAGTAGAAAATTCCATATAAAATAACAAACACACATATAAGAAGAATAGCACATAGATTCAAAAAGTAATTAGTCTTTTTATCGATGTACAGTTTTTGTTTCAATAATGTTTTCATCGTGCTATTGTCGTGTTCCGTGGGAATATCTTTCTGTATTATTCCATTCTTATGAATTTCATGAGACTGGTCGAGGTCAAGGGATGTTCCTGAAAAACAAATATGTTCACTTATTATAAACATCACATGGTACACTGTCCCAAATCATTTCCGGAAAAAACACAAAAAGGAAAAGAAAGGGCGACCTATACAGCTCCGTTTAGACAAATGCAGTCAATATGTGTATGATTATTTACCAAAGTCTCGTTTTTCACACGTAAGCAGCTGATTTTGAAGTTGTACCATGTACTAAAATTTTGCTTTTTTGCCTGTTGCACATGTGTTATGATGGAATGTATCGCAAAGATGAAAAAAGTTGAATAAGTGGCAAAAACCATAACACTGCATATCTCAAAAGTTCATAATAGTATGTATGTTACAGATGGCTAAGTTCAAAGGTTACATTTGGCTGTCCTATGACCTGTGCTAAAACCGCGTACACATCTTACGGTCACGCACGTAGTTGACCGTAGTGGGAGATGACCGTAGTAAACTGTAAATGACCTTAGTTAAACGTATTAAACTGAGTTAGACGTAGTTCCCTAACCCTAACCCTTAATCCTAGATTTAACATTATTTAACCCTACTTTACCCTAGTTGACCCTAGTTAACCGTACTTAACAATACTGTGAACATGCTTCAAACGTAGTCCAACCCTAGCAGTTGTCCCTATTTGACCCTACTTGACCGTAGTGTTAACCGTAGTACAATGTTACTACGGTCAGCTACGGTTAACACTACAGTCAAGTATAGGGTCAGTTACGGTCAACTACGTTCAAACTACGGTCACAGTAGGGTCTTGGCATCCAAATTCACCGTAGAGATATTTTGGCCAAATCAAAATAAAAGACCCAAGAAGTTTCTGTTATCAACCCGAATTTCCATATGGGTTTTCCAATGAAATAGTTGACTAAAGGCGTTATCAATACTTTTGCTGATGTTATCTCATGCTTTTGTCCCAATCTGTTGATATCATAAAACAGGCCGTACTCTTTTTTAAAAAGCTACATTTTGTTACTGGCGGTAAAATTGGATGTCGACTCATATTGTATAATTTTCAAGTGCATGGGCAGCTTCAGTTTATACAGTAACAGCTGCAAAATAAATTACAAATAATTTGATAACAATAGTATGTTATTATACATGAGAAGGAGGAACGTGTATACATTTGGTATTAATTAGCTCTTGTCGTACAAGTTCAATGTACTAAAACGCGATAGTTAAAACCTCGCTTTGACTTCAATGGAAGTTCGATGCATTTTAATGAAGTTCATGGAGTTTGCGCATCTTGATGAGTATCCACTTCGTATGGATGACTGGAACGACATCATGCAGGGGGCAGACAATTGATATGAGAGAACTGCTTGACATGGTAATATACTCACGGTTACCCATTGGCGTCTCCTTGATGTCCTCGTTGGATGAGATTGTTGTTTCATACTCTGCTTGTTTTCGATAGGGCCCAATAGGTTCCGTTGTCCAAAATGTAAGTCCTTTTATCTAAAAACGTAAAACGTATAACTGAAAGTTGTTTTATAACAGTAAAACTGTTTACGCCATATATATGTTTTCCTATTCTGGTACCAAATGAATGATCTTATATTGGTTGTTTGTAGTCATTTCACAAATGATTAATTCTTTCTATCAATCAATATCTTTTACATAAACCAAGATGAACAGACGTCAACATGATCTATGTTAAGTGATGTAAGAGAGGGAATAGGTTTTGTGTTAAAGCAAATTGCACGGCAAAACTCACATGGTTGAGCAAGGAATTTGTCGTCTTGTACATTCGCTTATATATTGCATATTATCTAAACGATTTTGAAACCCATCGTTTATTTTTGCAAATTCTTCTCTCTTATAGCTTATTTATTTGCTGTCATGTATTTTGTGTGACGGACTGACTCACGGTATCTCGACACTTGCTTCTGTTTCATATTCATATTGTTCTGCCTTTCGTTACAATTATATTATGAAACAGGTTGCAAGTATGTCAATCAGTTTATAGACATTTAAACAGATGTTACTATTATTTAGTTTGAAATGATACCATCGATATGTTTAATTTGTTATTATGAGCGCAGAGCCATTTGATAGTAGTTAGTTCGCCAAACTATGCATATTTGATAACCTTCTTTTGAAGACTAGAACTCTATATTGATGGTATTCGCGATCTGCATTGATAAAGAGCAAAAAATAATAATTCTGAATTACTACCAATAATGAGCCATTCAACGTCATAATTATTTTATTGAAATGGACAATTTTGCAATTTCGATCAATCAGATGCTATTTTATGGTGGCTATTCTTTTTGATAGATAAATGGATATCACAAAAAAGTTTCTTTTGTTAAACCCCACATAAACCCAATTCGTTCCAAAATTGGACAAATTCTAGACTTCGACCAATCAGATTCTATGTTTCAACTACTATCGACTTCATTTTTTTTACACTGCCCCAAACGAAAAAGTCAAGACCCGCCAATAGAAGTCGCAGCCGCCGTTCGATGTCCTATCAAAAAATGTTAACGACATACACATATTCATACTCATTTATATTCGTGAAGCAGTCGCTAAGGATATGTCCGAACGGAAACCATTTTACGGAACTAGATGGAAGTGAAGAAAAGCTGCAAAAGCAGAAGGTCTCCAAATTTGTTTTGGGGACTGAACTATTACCTGTTCGGACGGCTGTCGCTTTGTACAGAGACTAACTAAAATGACAACCAAAGCTGTTTCGACTAGGACCATAGCGGCAAAGTATGTGAAATGGATTTTGGATATGACTGCTGGCCGATCATCGACTTCTCCACATTTAGGAGAAGGGTATATAAAGTCTAGGATCATCCGTGTTATTCCCGTCACTTGGCCAACCAGCATTCCCCAGAAGGCTCCCTTAAACAACAGAAACATAGCTTATCAGATTCTATCTTTAAGCAATGTGCTTAATGGAAATATTTCAACTGATTTGGCATATCATTTATATAGATATATATATATATTTTTTTTAAAATAATCATGGTACAGTATCCCTGTCCTACCGCAGGCAAAACACAAAGATTTTCAAACTATAAGTAACTACAGAGGGAATGGGTAAGGAAATTACCACCGATCAGACCAGCCACCGTTTTTGTGATAGAATGTTCTGGGTTCAAATCTCGGTCTAGTCTCATTTCAGTTTATTTTTCTCAAAACATCGTTAACTCGCCGTTGTCGACGTCATACCATTAGTCTACGACTACTATTGAAACCGTTGTAGATCAGTTAATTTAGTTTTTAAATTAGTTACTTTTCTGCATGAAAATTCTAAAAGATATTTTTTCTCAAAAATAATTCATTAAAACTATTGTCATATAAGAATATCTTTCCTGCAAATGAATTTATTCATGGGCGTGGAATTTACGTTCTCCTGCATTACATGTTAGTTAAGAGAAAATAATGCCAGAGGGTAAGTACATAGATAATACTTATATAAATTATTGATAACAGGGATTAAAACGGAGCTTATGTATATCAATAAAAATATAAAATATTTACATTTATGAATAAAATTGATTCATGAAAAATGTTCATCATTTTCATGACTAACATGGACTATATTCAAAGTATCAATTCATCTGTTTTGTATGTATATCTAAGCATATGACACAGCTTTGTAGGCGCATTATGTTTAGTTTGTCTGCAAAGGTACCAAAACAACACAGTTCAATGCTAATATTGACCTATTTAGGAGTATGTTGATATGGCAATATAATACAAATTAAGTCTGCTTTATACATGTAAAGTTGAGCATAAAGTTCAAATAATTGTATGTAACGTGCATGCTTATTGAATGAATAAAACAGCCATCTTCCAAGGAGGGTAAGTAGTATCAATTATGACGTCATATTAATGATGACATTAATAATGAACACATAGGCAATTGTATTTGCAGTCTACATTAAAAAACTGTGGCAGTGTCATAAAGTTGTTAATATATATTAATGAATACATTCCAAATATCAGGTATCTCACCTGTTCATTTACTCTTGGTACGAATACGGCTAGGAGGAAAACAGAGCAGATGGGCGGGGCGAGATACCCGGTGACGGCCTGGATATACATAAAGAGTTGTCCCTGCTGCGCCGCCTCTATCAGGGGAATCCATGCAATACTGACACCCACCAAGATAATGACAAACACCCTACAAATATACACAAATCACCGTGCTGAACTGCGGTACAAAACCACTAAAATATAAATAAATAAATATACAGCATTTCATATAACGCCCTTTCTAGCTAACATAAGCCACTCTCAAGCGCTTTACAGTACATAGATATACAATTAATACAATTAGCACATACATTAATCAATACAATTTTGAGGAATTCGCAGGAGCTGCCTTATCAGGCGCTAACTACTAGTCCTAAGCCACCTGGCTAATATCTCCCTATGTGTGTATGCCTGCATTTGTGCTGGAGGTGTAATGTACGTATCACCTATCTATTACCATTGACACTATTACAAAAACCCTTTTCAAGTAATTTGCTTTCGATATGAAAATAAAACATCTCTCTATGCATTTTTTAAAATTACATAATTTAAAAACAATGTTTTAGTATTTGGCAACAGAAATGAGAATATTCAGTTCTAGGGCTCTATCTCTAGATCTAACCAACACATTATCATTTCTACTATCCAAGATTGACAATACAATATATCAGAATTAAAAGCAATCATCTTGATAAGAGAAGTAAAAATAAAGTTGTAAGCTCGTTTACCCCTCACTTTATCAATATTGCTATCCAGAAATTATAAATGCAGAGTATAAATATATAACAATAAGAACATGTTGTCAAGTTGAGTAACTCTTATTCAGAAAATCCCTCATATTGCGTATCTTCTAAATGATCCTAGTCGAAAAAAAAACATCTTTAAAGTGGAAATTCTTTATGCAATTAATACAGTACCCTTTATGTAAAACAGTCTAAGTTCTGCTTACACTCACCAACATATCGGCAAGCGCACCAAGTATACATTCAGCGACATCGAAATGAACAATAGTTCACAATATACGCAATAAAGCCAATTATAGAAACTGCGTCAGTAAAGACATACTTTCCAACGATAAGAAGCTCTCGTTCTCCGGCCTCTTTACGGAACTTCCTCCACAGATCCATCGTAAACACAGTAGCTGCACTGTTAAACACTGACGTCAGAGAGCTCATCAACGCCGCCATCATAACAGACATCATCAGTCCACGCATGCCTAAAAACAATAATATTACACCAAAAATATCATCAACGCCGCCATCATAAGACATCATCAGTACATGCAGGCATTAAAAATAAAAATAAAAATATGGAAATTTATCAAAACTGCTTCACATCAGACATCACCAGTAAACACACATGCTTAAACATAAATATGGCAACAGGAATATCATCGATGCCGCCATCCTAACAGATAGCAGCAGCCCACGCATGCCTATAACCTAAAAATATGGCATCAGGGAACTCAACAACGCCCCCTCCATAAGTTACATCATCAGGCCATAAAAGTCTTTGAAATATGACTTTAGTACATCCATATTCACAGGGTAATATTTATTTTGAAAAAAAAACACTCTAAATACCAGGAAGCACTTACAGGTATTTAAAGAAGTTTGTTTGCCCATCTTAAATCCAAAACTAAACATTTTACTGCAGTATATACCATTTTCGTCCATAGTTTCTTTAAATTCTTTATTTATTAACGAGGATTACGAACAGCCCAAAGGCTCTACGACTTTCTTTCTGCAACAAACAAGTAAATCTAAGTTAAGACTCATCGGTGGTATAAGGGTTCAAAAGAATAAAATCCACGTCTTTATGTTATGAAACATATGCCAAAATGTAGGCGAAAGGTGAAGGTGCATACAAAAACCTTATATAAGACTACAAATTCACGAACTGGTGCGTACATTGTCTTTTACATGAATCTTCTGAATGATATATGCTTCATTAGTGTAGGTTGCATTTTCATTCTAAAATATTCAACTAACTGTGTAATCTTTCGGAATTATTAGACAATGATCATTAAATGGTTTGTGTTTGTTGTTAACATAACATTAAAGGAGATAGCTCCAACACAAATCATATGTTTAAGCTATAAAATTAGGTATTATAGCCTTAAATATTCAGTAGAACATGAGCATTCTACGTTTGCTGTAATACATAATTACATGACCAGCTGTCATTTCAGAGTTCTCCCAGACCATTTAGCTGATACGAAGTCCTATACAAATGTAAAGAAAAAACCAATATGTCATATAAATTATTCAATGTACAAAACACATAAACCTTTCAATATTTTATTAATCTTATTTTTCTAATATCTAAGCAATTATATTATCTATAAACCTATTCATAAGGAAATTTTTTGTTTTCATTTTCTTTTGATTTAAAATTCACCAAAAGTTTGGTAAACAAAAGTACTTATCTAAAAAGAGAAAAATTAAGGGCCACATATACATTATGACCTCTCCCCCTAAATTTGATATGGTATTGTTAAGCATGCTACAGTGCTATGTCCTGACCGGTCTTGAACGTCCGTTAAAAATGAAACATATCAGCTTTAAAAAATCTGTGGAGAACCCTGCATTTGTATTAGTCTGATATCAATTATCAATTTTTTTGATATTTTGATCGAAGGGTATGAAAAAAACATTGTTTTAAACGTCTCCCCAACAACTGATAGTTGGTTGTCATACTTTTCTAGCCAGAAATAAAGATTTTGTTTAAAAAAAATCTATCCAAATGGCAAATTTTACTCTTTTTTTTAAAATTTATTTGAAAAAAGGCACTTCCTTGCTAGGTCGAATTTTACACAATTTATCAGTACTCAGTGTCGCCAACAAAGCTGCTTACCTGTCCATCACATGTGATACATACAGCAAACACTCTTCATGACTGTGTCCATATGTATTTCATTATGGAGTGCTTATTGTAAGATATGACTTACCAATAGGCGCCAGTCCTAGTATAAGTTGAGGGTAAGCAATATTGGAACAGCCTGCCGGATTCTCGCAAACTTCCATACATGTCTCAGCATCATTGCAAGCTACGGTTTCTGTTAAGTACATTCTGAGACTTTGTACATGTGCTTTATTATAACCAATAATGATTAATAATGAATATGGTACTTTTAGGTCAAATCCAGATTACATGTGTTCGATTTTACACATCATGCATAAATTGTTCTGCTTGAAAACAGTACTCTACTACTTGAGATAGGGCGTAAACCTTCATTACTTACCTGGGAAGAGCACTCTACTGATCATTCCCGGCATAATTATGAGGAACAGTGGTAGAAACTTCAGAAATCCCGCCATGATCGTCGCACCTCTCGCGTGAGCAATGTTTTTGGCTGCCAGAACTCTTTGTACAATGACCTTGCAGAAGAAAACGAGAATAAGGTCCATTTTGCTCAAGCTATCATTTGTTTATTATGTTTTGCCATTGAAGACTCACAAGCTTTCCACAATTCATACCGAAAGTACTAAGCACTGTAATAAACTGTTGAACCTTTGTACGTGTAACCCGTAATGTAACGTCTCAAGAAACAATATGATTACGTCATGATTTCGCGACAATAACAACAAAATTGGTAGAATATAAGACTCTTTCAAATTTGGTTAATTTGGTAAATTTGGTAAATCCCGAGGGTGGAATTTCTCTATTCTACACCCTTGAAAGTATTTTTCTCTCATCCCAACCACCAGAATAAGCTCATAAACCATGAAAATGCGTTTTGACTGACCATCATTTTGAAAATATCCATTTCCCCCCAGCGCCTTTTAGACGAAAATGAATCGGCCTGCCACACTAGGCACATCCCATATTTGCAGCGAAGTTTGTGCAGAAAAAATAATCACATCTTTCTAACGTGTACGGTAAATATATCGTAAAAGGTTTTAATTTCATCACGTCGCCTTTTCCGCATTGCGGCATCGGAGAGTTCCAAATTCGTGACGTCACGTCATTGTTGAGCCATTGCGACGTCACGTCACGTGAAATAGGGTTTAATAGAGACATTTTGTACACCCCTTTCTTACACTGGACAGCTCTATATTACACACAGGGAAATGAGAGAAATACAGCANCCAAAAGCCGGAATCATAGTCTTCTATTTCTTAGAATATGTAGAAATTTAGATTCTCAATTCTTTAACAGAGCAAAGATATCAACAGGTATTGATTTATTTTTTAAAGAGGATAACAAATATTTGATCGTCGATATTATTTACAATATTGGTCTAATTTTGCGCGAGGTATTAAGTCTAAAAACTAATATTATTTATTGTAAATTGCCTCCTCGAATTGAAAAAACCGGAAGCAATTATTGTCCGTATCAAGTTAATATAGAGATATTATTAATCTCAAAACAAACGGTTAGCTCTAGAAATCTTTATATGTGTAAATGAATTATCTCGAAATTTGATATTCAATCTTTCCTAAGTGATTATACGCGTCTGTACATGTATAGTAGCTATTCTATTACCTGATCCGCACACCAATACCACGTGGACACAAACGTTGACCTGATGAGGACTCCTGGCCAAGGAAGGTCAGAGTTCACGGGATCACGGAGAATGTGAAACGCATCATCTCGAGGAAGCCCGCATGAGGAGTGGGAAGTGTTTCCGAATGTCATATTTCCGGTGATATTAACAGTCCTAGCTGACTCAGGAATGGCTTCAAAGTACTTGTACATCAATCCACTAATCCCTCCCACCTTTATAAAGGCTAGAATATAGCAAGTTAAACATTTCAAAAATTTTAGCATTAAACAGCATTCTGTTTCGTGCTATAGGACCATAACACGGACAAGAGAATGCTGTTTTATGCTTATATTTACATTTTTGATTTTTAAAATTTTCATTTCTAAGTTCACAACGCACTTTTAAATTTGAATTTTGTAGTGTTTGTGCAAGAGTTAGAACAGCCATTGGAATTGTTCACAGAATGTTGTCTCGTGACTTTCCGCGTAAAAAATATAGTTCGTGGAAATAAACACTGATATATCGATACAGTTTCTGCAATTTAATTAATCAATGTATTAAAATCAATATATTTCATTCACATTTTATGATAGTCTTACATAATACGGTGAATATTATTGAATAATAGTGGGTTAGTTTGTTTATCTGCTTGCTAGTGCGGAGGGAAATAGCGATCCGGTAGTTAGTAAAACCCGTGGAGATATCACTACGCCCGTGTTATGGTCTCATAACACGGAACTGGATTTGATAGTGCTTTATAATAGCGATGCAGAGTGAATGTAAATATAAAGATTTAAAAATATGTATGTCTGTATGGTATGTATTTGATATGTATTCAATTTGCCGACATAGTGTTGAATTACTTTGACTGGACTTAGACATAATTATGTTACAAAGTATTTGACAGTTCAATCGAAATTATTTGCGACGGTGTAACTACTTTTTTTCATTTGCATATGAAACCCGGATTGTCATTATAAATAACACCATTAACCCCCCATTGTGCCCGACACGTCATGAAATCGATTATTAATGTTGTCAGGAAAATTAGCGAGATCCCAAAGGGTCAATGTAATTGCGCCTTACTTTGCATCCATATCGCTTTTCATGAAAATGTTTGTTAATATTAATACAGTTCTAATTTTTGTAAACTAAGATTCATTATTAAAAACAATAATGAGTTAAAAACAATATCGAAACCAGGGCTATAAATCGATATAAAATTGACTGGTCCAGCAAACTGCTCACCTAGTACTGACAGAGTTACCGCCCCTCCTAACATGATAACAGTCTGTAACGTGTCGGTGAATATGACCGCGGCCAAGCCACCTGAATCATAAAAAAAGGTTTTAAATATATTAACGTAAAAACATACATGTAACATTACACTTACTCATCAAAAATGTTTCAGTGGATATCAGTGCGTGACCGGAATACGAATCAAGATTTTCTGATCTAAAAACCACCACATGGCATTCACTTCAATTTAGCACTGATTTTATCATTTTTTATCTATGCTTATATGCATATTATAAAAACAGAAAAAATATCCTTAAGGACGAAGAAATAATACAAAAAGAAAATAAACATAACAATGCAGTCATAGCCGATTAAGCTTAAAAACCTCTTTTATACGATTACACAAACTTGCCGGTTGCAGTACAGCTGTCAGTAAATCAATTGTTCAAAAGCACTGTTTCACAGTGTAATTATAACTTATTATTTAAGGATAACAAAATTAGGTAGAGTTAATCAGTGTGATCAATATGGTGATCTCAGTACCTGCTATAGTATATACAGCGGTGACGGCCAGCAGGGCAATTATTGATACATAAGTATTCCACCCCAACGCCTGTTGTACAAATACAGAGCCGGCGTATACGTCAACCTATTAATAATAATAATTAGAGGTTCTCATATACCGCTTTTTCAAACATAGCTCGTAAGTCGTCTCAAAGTGGTTCACAAATTATTACCCGTGGTTATGGAGCCTTTGCAACCAGCCTATATATTTATCAACTCTCATGGGAGTATACAGCCGATGCTGCCATTTCGTCGCTCAAAACTAGCATTCAACAATTCTAGCACTGCCCAACCAAGTACTCATTTACCGCTGAGTAGACTGAAACATGCGGGGTAAAGTATCGTGTTCAAAGATACAACACAGTGCCGTGACGTGACTCGAACCCACAACTCTTCAGTCACGAGCCCGGCGTTCTACCACTAGACTACCGTACCTTCTAAATACTATTGTGCGTGATCATAAGATTATCTTCAACTAATTATGAAAAAATTAGCACTGATTTATACAATATATGTACATACAATTCTACCACTTACTATATATGTTCGTTATTAAAGTTACAAAAATTTGTCGGCATTATAAGGAGAAAAGAATATGTACCTGTATAACAATGTTAGTTTCCCATGTCACATTGCCTTTTCATTGACAATATTGGCCACATTTAATGTCAGAGATATAATTTACACATATATGAAAACCAACGATGTTATTCGTACTAGCCTAAAAAATCAAAAAGTTTAAAGTAATTGATAATAATGGTTTTAGGAATAAAAATTGCAAAAGTAAAATGCGGTTGTATGACAAATTAAGTTAATGAACTATACAAATTAGTTATATTTAAGTAATGTTGTGCAGGTAGGTAATAAGTTTGATGGTTGTGTTAATAAAATAAGGTATATGATTTAAAGTATTCATTACACATAAGATGTGTTGTACCCACCGATATTTTCGTACATATATACAAAAATAAGGCTAAACAGCTCAAGTACACTCTAAGTCTGCTTCCACCAAATCGTTTCTGTAGAAATTCAGGTATCGTAAACAGCTGTAATTGACAAAAAACAGAAACTATCATATAGTATTGTCTACCCGCACGAGGAGAGCGATACAAACTGAAGAGATATATAAACCCAAAATAAAAGACATGGCTGGTGACAAAGCCATGTGCCCCGAAAGTTTAAGCGTTCCCTGTACCTCATACCTTACCCCTCATAATGTTTCCCGTCCCGCAATCAGGTATAACGAAAAGCAAACTGCGAAAAGGTTAATTCATTAGATATGCTACTATTTTCTATAAGATACCTTTTTGTCTTTCTTCCAATTTCTACCAATTACAACTTGGTTTAAACTTTGTTTTATTCATTTTTTTTGACAATGCATTGAAATACAAATTGTAAAATTATATAAAATAGAAAAAGGAAACAAAATCAAGTGTCATGACAATTTGACAGCGTATTTAGAATTACAAGTTGGAAATATGCGGTTATCATGTCGGTGTTAGTACATGTATCAGCAACAGCTCAGTCATATAGTGAGTATATAATTCTTTAAATATACTATTTACTTTTTCAATTCTGACTTGTATTTATGTGGTATCTATTGGAGAGGACTTATTTAGGCTTGCCTGTTGTCAAATCCATTTGTCATTGAACAATAAAATTTGTTGAAATGAAATGAGTACCTACTTAATAAACACTGCTAATTCGACTATGTTCTTTATTGATCGAATCAATATAAGATTTGTGTTAACGAAAGTCAATGACTTGAAATCTGGAAGGAAAGAAACTGCGTCAGTCTAAAATCTTAAGTGTTAAGTAATTAAGTATTACTAAACAAAGAGACAAATATAGACTTTTAAATAATTGAAATGTATTTACATACTTACCCCGGAGGACAGGTAGATAGGCAGGAATACCCAACCCAGTAACGGTAAACAAATGGCCGCCTATCACAAATAGTTTAACAGGTATATAGTAGGACACATTAAAAAGACATTTTTCACTAGGATTTTACATCATTATACGAAAGTTTATTTATTTACTACGTCATATCCTCACACAAATATATAATGGATGTTTGATACTGCTGAATAATATCCTTACAGACAATTTATGTTTTTGATGAAAGATATACGATAACATTTTGAGATCCGTTGGTATTTTTTTACGAAATCGGTTAAAATACGTTCCAATTCAAGTTATGATAATTGTGCGAGTTTATTTTGACACATCAAGACAATCAGTCACATTTGAGCCAAAAAAACAATTAACCGTAAAACCCCCCTTTTTTATGGATGATAGGTTTCCTTAGAACTTCATTAGAGTCATACAAACACATACAACAAAAATGATATCTCGTATTAATAGAAATATGGCATGACATGCAATAAGACTAACAGTGTAACAAATATAAACTACAAATAACATTTTTCCGAGAACATTGGTCTATCAAATTTATTGTTACTTGAAAGGTTGAGAGAGGGAAAAATAAAAAAATTAAATTGCTACCGAAATTTTGACAGACTTTTAAATTACTTACCCCCCATTCGAATGCTACGACACCAATACCAGAGGCCGCACCACTACCTGCTAGACCGATAAAATGTTCACTCCCAATGTTACTGGAAAACAGCGAGGCACCAATCTGGAAAGAAAGGAGATATGTCAAAGCAAGAAATCTGATTAAGATGTTGATGCCTTCATTGTTTACCATATACGTAAGTATATAGGAAATAAATGTTAAGTCTCATTTTGCGTTGTTTCCTAAAAACTTTTTTCAGGGAATTAACATGTGATGGCTTCCTTGTATTTCACGAAAATATACCACTCGCCTAAGAAGGAAAAGTATTTAATTTTGTTTTTACACATTTGTGTTTTTGATAAAAAAAATTGTACAATTAAACTTTCAAGATATTAAGTCAGTCTACTTCATATCGATTATACATGTTTTATATCAACATATACCAAAGAGAATAATACTGCCAAAACAATCAATAAAGCAGTGTAACTAGTTATCATACCGGAAACCATAGCATGGACCGTCCTGCTAGGAAATAGCCTTTGACCGTATTCTTTTCCTTTCTGCACATTGACTGCAATACAAAAGTGAAACCAGGTAACATTTTAAAATATAATATGGAGACAGTTTAAAAGATTCCTATGAAGAGGAGAACATGCAGTGTTTATTAAGATATTTCACAGAGTAGAACAAACAACTTAACGAAGGTTCCCCTTTACATTTCCCTCTTGACAGTGGTCATTTAAACGGCATAAACAGTATCCAGCAATGTTAAGCTGATACCAGTTGCTATACAGTTGTGACATATTTGGGACTACCTTGACTGAAACGTTTAAAAAGTATTTTGTTTTGTTTTGTGTGATTGCTGTTGTTTGTTTTTTGAGTCAGTGCATGCCTCGAAGTCAATGTCACTTATATATCATACTTGTATATTGGCAAAACCGGAGTAAATAAGGAAACAAGGAAAGGTCATGTTAAATATTTCTCGCTCTTAAGGCCCAAAGCGTGCCATTGAAACAGAGGTATGACTGGTGTTTGTTTGTTTGTGTTTAACGCCCATTTAACAGCTAGGGCCATTTGAGGACGTACGTGCCAGGTTTTGGTGGTGGAGGAAATCCGGAGTTCTCGGAGAAAAACAACCGACTTGCAGCCAGTACCTGGCGACTGCCCCACGAATACCTCAAACCCGAGACCCAGTTTTTGTTACTTTCACTTATGGTACAGTACTTTTCGTTTTAGAGATTATCAGAAGTATCACTTGATATAGCAGTATGATACAAGGATGGTATCCCTACTAAAACCGATCTCGGACAAACTAATCGTGCAAGCGAAAAATACTGATTTATTATTGAATTATGAAAAGGATTATTTTTCACTCATTTTGTTTTGAATATTAATACTATAATTAAACTGATAATAAAAATTCGAGGTTGATATATACCGCTTTATCACAACCTTCATGTAGTTCGTAGGTCGTCTTAAAGAGGTTCACAAACTATTATCCGTGGTTATAGGGCCTTTGCAACCAGACAATTCTTTTTCCAACTCCCTGGAGAGCATACAGCCGATGCTACCATTTCACAGCTAACATTCAACAATTCTAGCACTGCCCAACCACGTACTCATTTCCAGTTGAGTTAACTGGAACAAGCGGAGTAAAGCAGCTTGCTCAAAGATACAACACAGTGCCGAGCCGACACCCGAACCAGCAACCCTTCGGTCACGAGCCCGGCGTCCTACCACTAGATTACTCTGCCTACTAAGAAACGGATGTTTGTCTTTTTTAAAAATGCAATGGGCGTTTAATTTGTTGTTTTAATTAAAAAGTAAGCTAATCTGATATATATGTATGACCTATGATTGGATGACGATGACAATCATCATATTATTCCATTGAATTAATGATCGCATAATGGGGTTTTAGCTCCAAGGTAATTTGATGCCAGATATTTGTTTTCTCATCAACCAATACATGCAAACTATACATGGTAACGTCATTGCAAGCGGGTATTTGTTTATAGATATAGAAATAACTGGAAAACAAATATATAATTGACTGAGGACGATGAAACAAATAGCATTTTTGGGAGATTTTTTTTTGTTTTTACTTACCCAGAGTCCAACGAGTAATACCAACACAAAGTACACAACAAGAACCAGTATGTCGACCCAGTGATCCAGCCCAGCTTTCATGATGATAATGAAGGAGTAGTGTCAGCGTAGTTTTAAGGTATGATTCAACAATTCATAAAAGTTGCAAAAGCAGTTCTGACTAACTTCACAAAATGATTGAGAGTACAACTGAAACAAAGCTAACTTTGCCTCCTAACACACATATGTCATCATTTCCGTATCTACATGTTTCTTCCCTTTATCTGGTCTGGTCACCACGATCAAAAACAAATTATATGTTAGTCAAGGGTCAAGAACAGCTATGGTAGAAGCGATATCTTATCTAAGGTACTCACGAACTGTAGATATGACTCCAGTGTTTGTAGATTTGAATCTGAGCAAATACGTTTTGATGACGTTCGGTGTTCTGTCAACAAACGTAGATAATGCCAGCTTAAGCAGTCAAGGACTTCGTTTACATTCTGTTAATGGTTTTAACTGAGTTACCTCCCTTATCTCAACTTAATCCAAACTAACTTAAAGTCAGTCAATACAAGAAGACAACAGCAAAGAAATATATCATCCATCATTTTATTTAAATATACTCTAATGATCTGTTCTATAGGAATTAATACATACGACTGATGCAACGTGTGGTACAGGAAATACTTACCGTGTAAGAGGGTCTTTACTTCCGGTATAAAGTAGGCTTTCGTGGTGCTTTATGTTTTGACATGTGTGGTATGCAAGTACTTTGTCTCTGTGTGTTAACGATTTGATGTATTCACAAATGTGTGTGGTGACGCTGTGGTATATTTTGATTCTTTGCGTGTACAGTATGTCATCTGTGGTATATTGACTTTGTGTATACAGTAGGTCCTCTGGTATATTGACTTTGAGTGTACAGTAGGTCCTCCGGTATATTTTGACTGTGTGTGTACAGTAGGTCCTCTGGTATATTTTGACTGTGTGTGTAAAGTAGGTCCTCTGGTTTATTTTGTCTGTGTGTGTACTGTAGGTCCTCTTGTATATTGACTTTGAGTGTACAGCAGGTCCTCCGGTATATTGACTGTGTGTGTACACTAGGTCCTCTGGTATATTCTGACTGTGTGTGTAGAGTAGGTCCTCTGGTATATTCTGACTGTGTGTGTACAGTAGGTCCCCTGGTATATTGACTTTGTGTGTACAGTAGGTCCTCTGGTTTATTTTGACTGTGTGTGTACAGTAGGTCCTCTGGTATATTGACTGTGTGTGTACAGTAGGTCCTCTGGTTTATTTTGACTGTGTGTGTCCAGTAGGTCCTCTGGTATATTGATTTTATGAATACAGTAGGTCCTCTGGTATATTCTGACTGTGTGTATACAGTATGTCCCCTGGTATATTGACTTTGTGTGTACAGTATGTCCTCTGGTTTATTTTGACTGTGTGTGTCCAGTAGGTCCTCTGGTATATTGATTTTATGTGTACAGTAGGTCCTCTGGTATATTGACTTTATGTGTACAGCAGATCCTCTGGTATATTGACATGGTGTGTACAGTAGGTCCTCTGGTATATTTTGACTGTGTGTGTACAGTAGGTCCTCTGGAATATTCTGACTGGTGTGAGTCCAGAAGGTCCTCTGGTATTTTGACTTTGTGTGTACAATAGGTCCTCTGGTATATTTTGACTTTGTGTGTACAATAGGTCCTCTGGTATATTTTGGCTGTGTGTGTACAGTAGGTCATCTGTTGTGGTTTGACTTTGTGTGTACGGTAGGGCCAGCAGATCCTCTGGTATATTGACATTGTGTGTACAGTAGGTCCTCTGGTATATTGACTTTGTGTGTACAATAGGTCCTCTGAAATATTCTGACTGTGTGTGTGTACAGTAGGTCCTCTGGTATATTGACTTTGTGTGTACAGAAGGTCCTCTGGTATATTGACTTTGTGAGTACAGTAGGTCCTCTGGTATATTCACTTTGTGTGTACAGTAGGTCCTCTGGTATATTGACTTTTTGTGTACATTAGGTCCTCTGGTATGTTTTGACTGTGTGTGTACAGTAGGTCCTCTGGTATATTGACTTTGTGTGTACAGTTAGTCCTTTGTTATGTTTTTACTTCATGGTACAGTAGGTCCTCCTGTTTATTGACTTTGTGTATACAGTAGGTCCTCTGGTATATTGACTTTATGTGTACAGTAGGTCCTCTGGTATATTTTGACTGTGTGTGTACAGTAGGTCCTCTGGTATATTGACCTTTTGTGTACAGTAGGTCCTCTGGTATATTGACTTTGTGTATACAGTAGGTCCTCTGGTATATTGACTTTATGTGTACAGTAGGTCCTCTGGTATATTGACCTTTTGTGTGCAGTAGGTCCTCTGGTATATTGACTTTGTGTGTACAGTTAGTCCTTTGTTATGTTTTTTCAACATGGTACAGTCGGTCCTCCTGTTTATTGACTTTGTGTATACAGTAGGTCCTCTGGGATATTGACTTTGAGTATACAGTAGGTCCTCTGGTATATTGACTTTTTGTGTACAGTAGGTCCTCTGGTATATTCTGACTGTGTGTGTACAGTAGGTCCTCTGGTATATTGACTGTGTGTACAGTAGGTCCTCTGGTATATTGACTTTGTGTGTACAGTAGGTCCTCTGGTATATTCTGACTGTGTGTGTACAGTAGGTCCTCTGGTATATTGACTTTGTGTGTACAGTAGGTCCTCTGGTATATTCTGACTGTGTGTGTACAGTAGGTCCTCTGGTATATTGACTTTGTGTGTACAGTAGGTCCTCTGGTATATTCTGACTGTGTGTGTACAGTAGGTCCTCTGGTATATTGACTTTGTGTGTACAGTAGGTCCTCTGGTATATTCTGACTGTGTGTGTACAGTAGGTCCTCTGGTATATTGACTTTGTGTGTACAGTAGGTCCTCTGGTATATTCTGACTGTGTGTGTACAGTAGGTCCTCTGGTATATTGACTTTGTGTGTACAGTAGGTCCTCTGGTATATTCTGACTGTGTGTGTACAGTAGGTCCTCTGGTATATTGACTTTGTGTGTACAGTAGGTCCTCTGGTATATTCTGACTGTGTGTGTACAGTAGGTCCTCTGGTATATTGACTTTGTGTGTACAGTAGGTCCTCTGGTATATTCTGACTGTGTGTGTACAGTAGGTCCTCTGGTATATTGACTTTGTGTGTACAGTAGGTCCTCTGGTATATTCTGACTGTGTGTGTACAGTAGGTCCTCTGGTATATTGACTTTGTGTGTACAGTAGGTCCTCTGGTATATTCTGACTGTGTGTGTACAGTAGGTCCTCTGGTATATTGACTTTGTGTGTACAGTAGGTCCTCTGGTATATTCTGACTGTGTGTGTACAGTAGGTCCTCTGGTATATTGACTTTGTGTGTACAGTAGGTCCTCTGGTATATTCTGACTGTGTGTGTACAGTAGGTCCTCTGGTATATTGACTTTGTGAGTACAGTAGGTCCTCTGGTATATTCTGACTGTGTGTGTACAGTAGGTCCTCTGGTATATTGACTTTGTGTGTACAGTAGGTCCTCTGGTATATTCTGACTGTGTGTGTACAGTAGGTCCTCTGGTATATTGACTTTGTGAGTACAGTAGGTCCTCTGGTATATTCTGACTGTGTGTGTACAGTAGGTCCTCTGGTATATTGACTTTGTGTGTACAGTAGGTCCTCTGGTATATTCTGACTGTGTGTGTACAGTAGGTCCTCTGGTATATTGACTTTGTGTGTACAGTAGGTCCTCTGGTATATTCTGACTGTGTGTGTACAGTAGGTCCTCTGGTATATTGACTTTGTGTGTACAGTAGGTCCTCTGGTATATTCTGACTGTGTGTGTACAGTAGGTCCTCTGGTATATTGACTTTGTGTGTACAGTAGGTCCTCTGGTATATTCTGACTGTGTGTGTACAGTAGGTCCTCTGGTATATTGACTTTGTGTGTACAGTAGGTCCTCTGGTATATTCTGACTGTGTGTGTACAGTAGGTCCTCTGGTATATTGACTTTGTGTGTACAGTAGGTCCTCTGGTATATTCTGACTGTGTGTGTACAGTAGGTCCTCTGGTATATTGACTTTGTGTGTACAGTAGGTCCTCTGGTATATTCTGACTGTGTGTGTACAGTAGGTCCTCTGGTATATTGACTTTGTGTGTACAGTAGGTCCTCTGGTATATTCTGACTGTGTGTGTACAGTAGGTCCTCTGGTATATTGACTTTGTGTGTACAGTAGGTCCTCTGGTATATTCTGACTGTGTGTGTACAGTAGGTCCTCTGGTATATTGACTTTGTGTGTACAGTAGGTCCTCTGGTATATTCTGACTGTGTGTGTACAGTAGGTCCTCTGGTATATTGACTTTGTGTGTACAGTAGGTCCTCTGGTATATTCTGACTGTGTGTGTACAGTAGGTCCTCTGGTATATTGACTTTGTGTGTACAGTAGGTCCTCTGGTATATTCTGACTGTGTGTGTACAGTAGGTCCTCTGGTATATTGACTTTGTGTGTACAGTAGGTCCTCTGGTATATTCTGACTGTGTGTGTACAGTAGGTCCTCTGGTATATTGACTTTGTGTGTACAGTAGGTCCTCTGGTATATTCTGACTGTGTGTGTACAGTAGGTCCTCTGGTATATTGACTTTGTGTGTACAGTAGGTCCTCTGGTATATTCTGACTGTGTGTGTACAGTAGGTCCTCTGGTATATTGACTTTGTGTGTACAGTAGGTCCTCTGGTATATTCTGACTGTGTGTGTACAGTAGGTCCTCTGGTATATTGACTTTGTGTGTACAGTAGGTCCTCTGGTATATTCTGACTGTGTGTGTACAGTAGGTCCTCTGGTATATTGACTTTGTGTGTACAGTAGGTCCTCTGGTATATTCTGACTGTGTGTGTACAGTAGGTCCTCTGGTATATTGACTTTGTGTGTACAGTAGGTCCTCTGGTATATTCTGACTGTGTGTGTACAGTAGGTCCTCTGGTATATTGACTTTGTGTGTACAGTAGGTCCTCTGGTATATTCTGACTGTGTGTGTACAGTAGGTCCTCTGGTATATTGACTTTGTGTGTACAGTAGGTCCTCTGGTATATTCTGACTGTGTGTGTACAGTAGGTCCTCTGGTATATTGACTTTGTGTGTACAGTAGGTCCTCTGGTATATTCTGACTGTGTGTGTACAGTAGGTCCTCTGGTATATTGACTTTGTGTGTACAGTAGGTCCTCTGGTATATTCTGACTGTGTGTGTACAGTAGGTCCTCTGGTATATTGACTTTGTGTGTACAGTAGGTCCTCTGGTATATTCTGACTGTGTGTGTACAGTAGGTCCTCTGGTATATTGATTTTATGTGTACAGTAGGTCCTCTGGTATATTCTGACTGTGTGTGTACAGTAGGTCCTCTGGTATATTGACTTTATGTGTACAGTAGGTCCTCTGGTATATTCTGACTGTGTGTGTACAGTAGGTCCTCTG